CAAACGTCAATACGTCGAGACTTACTGGTAACATCAGGGATGACAAACTGCTCAAACATGAGCCCGGTATGTGTTGCCCACCCTGTCACCCTCTTCACAGGCGCCTCTAGTCTGAGAAATGCCTTCTCCTGTATTGTAGCAGCAACTTCGGCACCTACACCCGCGTTCATCATGCTCTCATGCACTACAATCGCTCTTCCAGTCTTCTTCACGCTTTCTAGGACCGTCTCTCGGTCCCAGGGGTATATCGTCCGGAGATCTATCAGCTCAACACTGCACCCGAAATCCTTCTCTGCAGCTGCTATCGCCGCTGAGCATGTGTATAGGGGTGTGCCGTATGAGACTATTGTCACATCCTTGCCCGTCTTGAGGACTTCAGCCTTGTCTAGTGGAAGGTAGAATGCGTCGACAGGGACGTGCTCAACGGCAGCACGATATAATATCTTGGGTTCCATGAACACGACAGGGTCCTGGCAACGTATCGCAGAAAGGAGGAGTCCTTTGGCTTGAACGGGCGAGCGGGGTATTACGACGCGTAGACCGGGCGTGTGGGTGAAGAGGGCCTCTGGAGATTGCGTGTGATAGCTAATGAAGTGTTAGTAGATCTCCACATGGAGGTTTTGGTGTCTTACAGAGCGCCATGTCCGACACTGCCTGATGGCATGCGGATGACTAGCCCTCCACAGTTCACGCCAGTGCTTCCCGACCGGTATCTGTACTTGGCCGCCTCATTGTGTATTTGGTCAAACGCCGGAAATACATAGTCTGCGAATTGAACTTCCGCTACAGGCTTCATGCCCTCTGCAGCTGCTCCAATAGCAAATCCCACAAGCCCCTGCTCGCTCAAGGGAGTGTTGAAGACGCGTTCTGTGCCAAAGTCTCCGGCCAGATTCATGGTACACCGGAAAACACCTCCAAACTGCACGTCTTCTCCAAACACCATGACGCGTTCGTCGGTTTGCAAGGCATATCGTAGGGCTTCATTGATGGCGGTGTAGAGGTTTATACGCTTTGTTTGGCCCTTTTGTATCTCTGCAGGAAACTCGGGGTTGGAGAGGGACGATTTGGCGGTGTGGTGGAGGATAGGCGTTGTATCGTACTCTACTGTACCATTGAGGCGTGCACCAGGTGCTGCAGCCGAGTATTGTTTGCGTTGGAGATGGTGTTGACAGCGGGGTCGAAGTGGTGCTTGTGGGCGTAGTAGATAGCGCGACAACGCGCGGATTGAAGGGGTTCTAGCGGCCATGTCTACAGAAATGGAAGCAACAAGTTCATCCAGAACTCGCGAAAAGATACATGCAATAAGGACATGCTGGGCACAAACATGTGAGCCGACGGTTGTGCGGTTGTATGTCGCGGCTACCTACGGCTCTCCAAATTTCAACGTTGCGGAGTTAAGCGCGCATGCGCCCGGAGAAGAAGGTGCCATCCAGCACGTGATTGACGTCCTGCCAAGACCAGAGCTGCTGCACAATGACGATGGGCGCCATGATGGTTCCCACGGCAGGTGGAGACTAGCGTACGCATCTTTCGATATTTTGTGGCTGACCTCTTTCATCATTGCTGGCGTTTGAGGCGCAGGATATCATGCATGCAGTTTATATGAGCAGCGTTACCCAACAGGGCCAGGTACATGACTGTGGGAAGCACGGCACAGTGTTTGTGCTTGGCGGCTTGTTGTGAGACTGGGGAAAGCAATTAGAGACTAGTACGATGAAGCTCGAACCGGGGTTTATTGATGCCGGCCCCTTCGAGCACACCGAGGACGCGCACGCATTCTGTGTCGAGGCAGATGTCGTTGAGTGACGCGATGGCAGAGTGCTGATTCACCCGGGTACACGGCCTGTGACGAAAGAGTAGAGGACTGGCGCATCCATAATACGCGCGCCTTTGTCCACTTTGAGGCTGCATCTTACGTCTAGATGCACTGACCGTGCGCAGACCCACCAAACCGCTGCTTCCGCATCATTATTTGCGCGCCCACCACAGACCTTGGATTCCACCTCCTTCGCCTAATCCATCTCCTTTATACGGAGACTTTCTTCATCTTTCCGCACTCGGGTGCTTGCCCTGGCCATGAGCGCCTCTCCTTCTCGCGCTGCCGCCAATGGCTCTTCGCTGCGCATTGCTCGACTCGCCTTCCTCGGCCTCTTCCACGCCTTCGCGCCCGTCGTGACCGCGTTGCCCATGCCTTTTGGCGATGTCGTGAAGGCTTTCAAGGACGCCGACGAGGATCTCCCCAAGGACTCCAGCGACCCGCAGCTCTGGCTTTACCTGGGTATTGCTATCGCGCTTGTTTTGGCCGGTGGTGTGTTTGCGGGTCTGACCATTGCGTGAGTACATCACGGTTCCGCCATTGTGCCACAACGCGCTAACAGCTACTTCCAGCTTGATGGGCCAAGACGAGATCTATCTCCAGGTCCTTGCTTCCTCCGGCGAGAAGCACGAACGCAAGAACGCGAAGAAGGTCCTGAAGCTGCTTGAGCGAGGCAAGCATTGGGTCCTGGTGACGCTACTCCTGAGCAATGTCATCACAAACGAGACGCTTCCCATTGTGCTGGACAGGTCGCTCGGTGGAGGATGGCCTGCCGTCGTCAGCTCTACAGTTCTCATTGGTACGCGCATTCGCTCCCAGCTACTTTGGTCACGTCTAACCAGTCTCAGTCATCTTCGGCGAAGTCGTCCCCCAGTCCATATGTGTGCGCTACGGTCTGCCAATTGGCGCTGCCATGGCACCCATCGTTCTCGCTCTGATGTACGTCATGGGCATAATTGCCTGGCCGACTGCCAAACTCCTCGACTACCTCCTCGGCGAAGACCACGGTACCGTTTACAAGAAGGGCGGATTGAAGACGCTCGTAAGCTTGCATCAGTCGCTCGGACTTGAGCATGAACGCCTAAACGAGGATGAAGTTACCATCATCACCGCTGTGCTGGATCTCAAGGCTAAGGCTGTCGGCAACATCATGACACCAATGAAGGATGTCTTCACCATGTCGTCTGACACCATTCTGGACGAGAAGATGATGGACAACATCCTGTCTGCTGGCTACTCCCGTATTCCCATCCACACACCCGAGAACGAGAACAATTTCGTCGGTATGCTCCTGGTCAAGATGCTCATCACCTACGACCCCGAGGATGCTCTACGTGTGCGCGATTTCGCTTTGGCTACTCTTCCTGAGACGCGTCCCGAGACGAGCTGCTTGGACATTCTCAACTTCTTCCAAGAGGGCAAGTCCCACATGGTGCTAGTCTCCGAATTCCCAGCTGAGGCCCGCGGCGCCGTGGGTGTCGTCACGCTCGAAGATGTTATCGAAGAATTGATTGGAGAGTAAGTAGTGCAACCTCTCAAACCCCAAATCGCTACTAACAAAAACAGGGAAATCATTGACGAATCCGACGTCTTCATCGATGTTCACAAGGCAATTCGTCGCATGGCTCCCGCTCCTCGTGCCCGCGTTCCCCGAGGCAAGGTCATCACCGATATCTCTCGCAAGCCGTCAGAAGCGCAAGCTGTAGACACCGAAACAGATTCAGAACAGAACGGCAAACCGTCTCTACGCAAGACGTCTTTGCCCGAGATGCCTGAAGGTCACCCCAAGCCCTCCTTCCTGCTCCGTCGCCGCAGCAGCGGCAGCAAGGGAGGTGCTTCGCCGCTTCGCAGTGATGATCCAAGTGTCATGCAACACCTCAAACATCTCGGTCCTTCGAACGTTGCCACCAGGCCCAAACAGACTCGCATCAACACGGTCAAGATCAAGCCTGGCCAGACAACCCTGACACCTGATATCCCCAAGACCATACCAGAAGACGCCCAAGCCCCAACCGAACCAGCACAAACCGAGGGTGTGATAACCCAGGATTCTCATGCACCCGAAGGTGGCATCGGCGAAGGCTTGTTAGCCTCCGCGGGTCGCGAGGCCAGTGACGGCGTTCACAGTGTAGCTGTGGGATATGGTACCATGGCTCCAGGTGGCGATCGCATGTCCTGGAGATCAGGCCGCTCTGGTACACGGGAACATGAAGAAGAGCCTACGTCACCGAAGGGTGGTGCTAACGAAGACGACGAGAATACTCATCTACTTGTCGACAATCGCAACAACGAAAACGGCAGTTCAAGAGGACGGTCACACTCCGTTAGTACCATTGCCTCTCTACGCTCTATCCGCTCGCGTTCAAACAGTCCGCTGAAGAAGCGACATACCGCTCGAAGCGGTAGTATCTCCGAGAACGTCGTAGACTTCAACGGTATCAAGAAGGTTGTCTTGGAGACCACAAGTTCTAGTGACTCCGAGGACAAGGCCAACGGTAGTCAAGCCGACGGTAACGATGACCAAAAGCATTCGGAGGCCGAGTCCTCGCATGCAGGAGGCAAAGGTTCGAGCAAAAAGAAGAGGAAGAAGCGAGGCAAGAAGAAGAAGGGCGGTGCTGGAGACAGCAGCGAATCACAGCCTTTGCTCGGTGACAACTAACCTTATCACCCACAAAGAGCATGTCGTTAACGCGTGCTCTGCAGAGGTCTTGAGCGAAATCGGTGCGAATGCGAGTGCGAAGTTTCTGAGTCATTTCGAGTCTGATAAAACTAATTGACATGCATCGGCGTCTTCTTGTTCGCCTTGAAAGTTCAAATGGGAAACTTATGAGAATGATGGGCATTGTTAGGACAGGATATATCTTCGCGACTGTATTATAAAAAAGGTGCCTTGTTTTTTGGACGATGGGTAGTCGTCTTGCGGGCTTGAAATATATTCGTATAAGCTCATAAACTTGCATTCCGCTTTCCTATGCAACGTTACCAGAACGCTGAAATAAGGATATGTCTTTGGCGTTTCTACATGACTGCGTACCGTGGACACTGGCTTACTCTCCATCTCCAGGAGAAGACAACTGTTGCGGCGGGACACGGGCCTCGTGAACTACAACATTATGCGAACGATTGGTCTACTGTCCCTATCCAGGGAACGCTGTAGTACATGATCACTCAGCCTGGAAAAGGGTTACAACCCTTCGTAGCCAGTGGGCCATACCCAAACATCCGAATTGGTCACATTCGTTTTTCTCTCATCGATTCTTCTCTCATTGGTTCTCCTCTGATTGTATGCCTGTCTTACCCCTTTGTGCCATTCTTTCTGCTGGTGAGTAGCCCACTCTAATACTTCAGTTGGATGTCGACTCCACCACAAGACAACCTCTCGCACTGCGAACGCATTTTCAATGCAAGAATCTCCTCCACCCTTATTATTCTGGACCTTCATATTGAGGAGTTGATTGCACAGGGCTTTCAGACTCCAGCGTCTCTTAACGCTATATCCAACAGCTTCCGATACCAATATCGCCGAATCTACAACGCGCCAGTGTTCCATTCGAAGCGCAGTAAGATCGCGGTGTAGGTTGTGGCCAACTAGAACGGTGTTGGGACCGATATTTCTCCAGATCTCAGCCCTCGCCTCTGGCCAGCCTTTTAATATCCTTCCTGTGATGGTGGTCGCAGCTTTGGCTTGCTTCGATAGCCAGTCTTGGTTCGTGTGCCAACCAGCCATTGGCTGGACGGGCTGAACTAACGCGTCGATGATGACTTCGCCAGTGAGGTAGTCGATGGCTGAGATGTGCAAGATCTCTGACTCACTGTAGTGTTTGTCCACCACGTCGCAGTTGATCGCGATTGCAGCGCGCTCTGGAAGATAGGGAAACCTTGGGGGAGTTGGTAATGCATAGTGCATAAGAATATTTGCGTCTTTGACGATGTTTGTATGGTAGATGTGGAGTATGTATCGAGAATGGCAGAATGCCATGAGTGCGATGAACACTTCGTTATGAAGTTCTTGCGGAATGACTGTCTTCTTGTGGGCTGGCTGGGGGTCAAATGATTGCACTTTTGACCTTATAGTCACTCGCTTTCCTGGTGTGGTTCCGCATGTAGCACGCTCTCCACCAAAAATGACTGACGTTGGAATTCGTAGTGACCTCGGCGATTCTTGGACTGCTAGATTTTGAGGTGTGCTTATGTGCAGTGAAGATTCAAAGTGCGCAGCAAGAGAATCCAAAGTCCTGGATGTCTTCCCCACTACCACTGGGGTTAAAAATTCGACATTTGTCGCTGGAATTGTGCCTGGGGCATTGGAAATGTTCAGTTGCATCTTGCTTGGTTCAACTTGAGGCGACAATTCCTTATTGGCTTTGCTGAGCTGCTGTATTGTTTTGCTTTGCTTGTTGACGTGAATCGCTGAATCCAAATGCTGTTTGAGTGCTTCCTGGCCTGGGAAAGTTCTTCTGCAACTCCCGAATGTACAAGGTATGGCGTGTTTGGAGCGTCGATGAGCCGCCAGGACGGTACCGTTATCGAATGACAGGGTGCACTGATCACAGGGTAAAGCCACCGCGCTTGTGGTAGAGCTTTTGTTTGCTGACATTGTGGGCTGATTTATCGATAGTAAGCAGATGGCAGTTTATGAACTCTTACTTTTGAGAGTGATCGAGCTTTCTGTGGCATGTGCTGGCAGATTTGTCAGTTAGTAATACTTCCCCACGCCTTCATGCTGTGTAACGATAGACGACGCGCATCCTACCCCGCCCACCCAGTACTTGCCACATCGAGCTGTACAGAACTCATGATATATTTTGCTCGAGATTGTATGATCTAGACATTAACGTAGGTTATATTTCGCGTCTGTGGACAATGCCCACCAATCCGGAAGGAAACAGGAGTCTTGTGAACGAGTGATGCGGCTCTGCTCATACTGCTGCCGTGGCACTGCATATAATGGTCATCCGAGTCATCTGTACCCAGAAGTTGGCGATGTCTGGAAAATTCCTAGGCATCGATGTAAATCCAGCTTGGTACACTTGCATCCTGCCTGAATGGAAGGGGCCGCCGTGACGCACTTTAGACATCATACCGGATGAGGAAGGGTTCCAAGACGAACAGGCCGGTGCGCGTCCGCGTTGATTACGCCTCGTCAACTGTTTGAATTTATTCATCAACACCATCGTCTTTGGCTGAAAGAAGTTCTTACCAACACAGCTACAAAGTATCCCTCTATCCTGGTTGTCGATGGAAATGAGATCGTTGTATCTTACCCCGCATGTCTGTCGTCAGCTCGAAGCCCCGCGTAAGGCGGGCAAGTGTGCAACAAGGCGCCCTACATCAGAGCGATCCATACCCAAATCTTGCAATGGCAAGACGCCACCGGTGATATCTCAGCAATTGCTAAGTCTTTAGAGAGTATTCATGTCAATCAGCAGGGATATCGTGGGTGTCCTGAAGTTGAGGTTTTGCTTATCGTATCTATATAGAGTGCGACTTCCCCTTCGAATCTCGTGCTATATTGCAAGCCTATGTTACGCGAGTATGCTCTCCATAACGCCTCTATCTCTATCTGTTTTCATTGCATACGTCGGCTACATTACGATTTACAGAATCTTCTTCCATCCCTTACGCAGCGTCCCCGGTCCGTTCCTGGCACGCTTTAGCAAATTATGGCTTGTCTGGCATGTTCGAAAAGGCAAATCGCACATCCAATTCCCTGAATTGCACGCCCAGTTTGGACCTATAGTACGCATTGCACCCAATCAAGTCCTAGTATGCGAGGAAGATGCTGTCAAAACTGTTTATGGAGCGGGAACATCATTTACGAAGGGAGATTGGTATCAGATGTGTGCCGCACCGGACAAGAACTGGAAGCCCGTTGATGAAGTCCTCGATCTGTTAACGGAAACGAATATGGAGAAGTATCGCAGGCAAAGAAGAGCCATCGGCCCAGCTTACAGTATCACGGGGCTAGAGAAGCATGAAGAGCTGCTTGATGCTTACATCGATAAATTCGTTGCCAAATTAGAAGATCTGAGGGGGAAAGAGGTGGGCCTGGCAAATTGGGGACACATCTTCGCCTTGGACTCTATGAGCCAATTTACTCTAGGAAAGAGCCCTGGGTACACGGACAAAGGCAGTGACGATGGAAACGAGGACGCCAGCCATGCGCTTTGGCAATGCTTTACAGTCATTGGTCTCTTTCCCGGGTTCGTGAAGCTGATGCACAGCATACCGAAAGTTGGCATGTTGCTTGTCCTGCCAATGTCGCTACTCCTAGGCATCAGAATCCCGAAGATATGGCCCGTGTTCAACTTCTGCAGCCCGAGCATCATGCAAAGACTGAAAACACTAGAGAGCATGAAGGATGTGGAGCTACCCGCCAGCCGCCCTGGTTTTCCCCAAGAGTATGGAAAGGACGTGGGAGTACCGGAGGAGAGAGGAGACAGCATCGAAGAGACAGATATGCTGGCTACTTTGATGCGTCTCCATAACGATAGAGAAGCGCGCTTTCCTCCTTCGTGGGTCCTCTCAATCGCTCTTACCAATTTTGGTGCTGGGCACGACACGCTGATGTTCACGCTTTCTTCGGCCATTTATCATACGTATACGTCGCCGTCAATTCTTGCCCGGTTACGCAAAGACATGGAAAGCCAGGGCGTTACACGGAAAAGCAGATATTCTGAAATCGTCGCCAGAGTACCATTGCTCCTCGCCGTTCTGAGAGAAAGCATGAGGCTCTGGCCTACGATCGGGTGGTATCTTCCTCGCCTCGTGCCCGCTACAGGAGTTACGCTGTGCGACACTTATCTTCCTCATGGTACTACTGTGGGAACGAGCCTCTGGACTTCTCACTTCGGCTCCGAAGTCTTCGCAGAGCCCCACAAATTTGATCCGGATAGATGGCTACCCGATGGCACCGAGGAGAGGAGAAGAAAAATTGGTAGAATGGACAGCGTATGGATGGGTTTCGGAGGCGGAAGCAGAAGCTGTCCGGGACAGCATCTTGCGAGGTTTTTCGTCATCAAAGCGCTAGCTAGACTAGTCATGAGCTGTGATGTTGAGGTGAACGGAGAGCCGGAGATTGGGGGCTGGTTTCAGTGCACGTTGACGGGCGTAGGTATCAGTGTCAAGGAGAGGAAGATGAAGTGATGGGCTTTGTAAGTAAGCCAGGCCTGGAAGAAGAGAGCACGGAGAATTTGTAACGCTGAAAAGGGGAAAGTGGAGCAGTGGATGTCTCGCCTTTTCGACTTTGTCATGTTTACTCATCCATCATCTCGCTTGAGAGTGCGCAACTCCAATCCATTGCAAGACGACTGCTTCAGTATGCTCCAGGCTTGGTAGTATGGACCATTTAAACAATAATGTAGTAAAGAGCTTCTACGCGTCGCATGCAGAGTATCTGGTTCTATTTCTAGATTTGCGGCGTGAGATCGATATGCGATTTCCCCAGATCTCGCTTCACTAGCGGCGGGAGTTCCTTGCGCTAGAACCCACCATGCTGGCTGGATGCAAACGTCATGACTATGAACGCCGCGAATTGGCCGCCAGGACGTCACAGCTGTCATAGCTCCATTTTTCTTTTGAGAGAGCTTATGTGAAGAGTGTGATCGAGCCCTTGTCGCTTCAAACATATCATTGCAATTGACCTCCACTTCCAACCTCAAAATCTACAACATTCCGATCTCCCATCAACAACTCTCTACACACAATGGCCAGCCGAACCTTCACACCAATGCTCCGTCAGGCGGTCCGCGTCTCGCAGCGAAATGCTATGGCGGCACCGTGCCGTCGCTTCCTAAACACCGAGACAGCACCGAGCCTCTACACAGCAAAGGCTCACGTTGTTGGCGCACGGACAGGGTATGCTGAACATTACATTCGAATATGGAACATTCTGCTGACACCTTTCCAGACATGTAGACGGCGAGAACCTCAAGGTCGACCTGACAATGGCCAAAGCCCTTGGCGGCTCCGGAGATGCCGGAAAGACCAATCCTGAGGAGCTTTTCGCGGCTGGTTACGGTGCATGCTGTACGTGCCCGCCCTCTACTCGTTTTTAACGAATTTACTGACATCAATCAAGTCCAATCCGCCATGAACGCTGTTGCCCCCTCTGTCGGCGTAAAGATGCCCACCAAGACCGAAGACTCCATCGTCGAATCGACCGTAGAACTTGTCGGTAGCATGAAGGATCTGGACATGGGATTGCGCGTCCAACTCCTCGTCAAGGTACGCGGACTGGCGAAGGAGGACCTGGAGAAGGTTGTGTACAAGGCGAGGCAGGTTTGCCCGTACAGCCGGGCGACCAAGGACAATGTGTACACCACTGTTAGGTGCGAGACCATGTAAAGAACTCATGGCTGCATAGCATTTCATCAAGTCAATATAAAGAATAGATTAATAATCCTTTTCAGAGACGGTTCTCTTGCGCAGTCTCGATAACAGCAGCTAACATGCCTTCCGCAACGTCTTCCCCATCTTCTGCTTCTGTGACCCATGTTACTCGGCCACTCCGCGGACTGCGTACCTCTAGCTCCATCTTCATTTGCTGCACTACGCAGATTACGTCTCCTTCTTTCACTACATCACCCTCGTCAATCAGGACCTCGACGAGCTTCCCAGGGAACGGAATACTGATGTGCGATGGATCAGATGGGTTGCCACGTCTATGATGTGACGTGGCTGCTGAAGCGCTGGCAGACGTTGAGGAGAGGGTTATGGTATATGGTGTTGTTTGAGGGGTGGCCGAGGAAGCACTAGAGGGAGTTGTAAAGAGCAGTTCCGCGCTTAGTGAGGTTGGGAAATCGTTTCGTAGGACGCGTGTTAACTCGAGGTGATGAGGTGGTGGTTTCTCATTTGCTTTGGTCGTGGGGGAAGATATGGCTATGGACCAGGCATCGCCTTTTCGGAAGAGAGTGTTGGCTGTCGAAACCGATGCAGTTGAAGAAGATGTCGTAATGTCTGGGCCAAGAGTGTTAGGATGGGCTTCAGCGATGCGTTGGCTCGATCGAAGCAGTTCCTCCTGTTTGCTTTCTAGCCATTGCGTATCGCATTGACCATTCAGAAAATCCGAGTGTGCGACGATGGCTTTCAGCATGTCAAGATTTGTCTTGACTCCTGCGATACGCGTATCCTCTAGAGCCCTCCGCGCTTTACGGACCACGTCTTTCCACGATGACGCTGTTACAATGACTTTGGCGACTAGACTGTCGAAATCTGCTGATACTACAGCAGGTCGACCACTGATGAGGTGTGTGTCAACCCGAATGCCATTACCTGAAGGGAATTGGAAAGATGTAATTTTGCCAATCGATAAAGACCAGTCGCTCCGAACATTCTCCGCAGTGATGCGCAGTTGGATAGAGTGCGCAGAGGGCGGGACTTCTGGGCTACCTGGAGCTACTGATAGGCCACACTGGGTTAGAGGAGCGCCTTGCGCGAGCAGCAATTGTGCTTTGACGATGTCGGTCATGGAAATGGACTCAGTGATTGTATGCTCGACCTGCAACCGCGGATTGACTTCCAGAAAGTAGTACTCTTTTGTTGCTGGGTTCACGAGGAACTCAAAAGTACCAAGTGAGACGTAGTGTATCTACGCAGAGATTAGCGAAGTAGGTTCGGGGCGGGCCGTGATACTAACATGTCTGGCCATTCTCAACGCATCTTCGATCACCTTGGCAATCAGCTTGCGATCAGACACGACACTTGGTGCCAGCTCAATGATCTTTTGGTATCGTCTCTGAATGCTGCACTCGCGTTCCCAAAGGTGTGTTACAGTCCCACTGCCGTCTCCAATGATCTGAACTTCGATGTGCCGGAAACCATCAACTGCAGCTTTCTCAGCAAATACTTGCTTGGAAGGGCTCTCTTCGACTGCTCTTTTGACCAAAGCAGGTAGCTGGTCTTTACTGCAAATCAGACGGATGCCTCGCCCACCGCCTCCATCCACTGCTTTTACCATGATTGGGAAACCTACCCCTGATGCAAAGCGCTGGACGTCTTCGACATTGTTAGTCGGTTGCCGGAGAGCTGGAGACACAGGGACGTTGCCTGTTCTGGGATTAGCAATCGTACAATCTACATATCTCGTAGGTCCTACATTGTTCTGCAAGCTGCCTCGCTTTGAGCTTATCTCCAGTACTACTCAGGATACCCCATCCGGGACCCACCACTACAGCGCCAGCTTCTTTCCAAACTCTCCTCGAGAAGTCTTCCGACTCTGATAGGAATCCATACCCTGGATGCACGGCATCAATTTTGTAGTGTTCGATGATTTCGATAAGACCATCAATACTCATAAAGGTTGAGGCTGATGGTAACTTGACTGCGTGGTTTGCTCGTACAGCGTGCGAATCGTCACCTGATACGTAGATGGCATACGTCTCAATCTCGAGTTCGCGAGCAGAAGAGACGATGCGCGTTGCTATTTCTCCTCTGCAAGATATGTATTAGCTTAGCTTTCCATGATTCGGAATTGCTACTGACCTATTTGCAACAAGGAGTCGCTTTATGGGTCTCCGCGGTGGCTGTGTCGTGTCCATTCTCCACCTAAGATCCGGACTCTCTAGAAACTATCCAGTGAAGTCGCTCAATGTTACTATTTTGTATGTGAGATGACTCGAAAGGGCGAGTCGGGGGATGACACCGGGCAGAAATAGGCTTTGTGTCGTCAAGGAGGCTTTCTTGACATGAATATTTTACCTGGATGCAACTTGGTAGCAAAAGATTTATCAGGGATCCGATTCGACATGGATAATGACATGTTTGCGGTACAGGCGGGATGCAATGGGTGAAGGTAAACGCGGGGAGCTTGGAGATGCCTCGGTTTACCAGACCTACCCCAACATTCTACCACGACCATTCCAACCTGGACCGAATCATCGCGATGTGACAATTCCACCGTCGCTCCATTTCTGGGGCTTGAAGACACGCTTTTTTACACTCGGTACCTATCGCAATGGCCGGTGACGACCAAAAGGTCGCGCCAAAAGACGCGTCGACGTCATCCGAGACGGCCAAAGACCGACTCGCCCAAGTCAGCTCGCACATCGCCCCGAACACGCCGAAGCGACGAAGACGCAAAGCCGCAGACTCAGATGCACCTGCAGATTACTCCGACATTCTCGGACAGATTGCGACACTCCGCAAGATCGCTGCGACGCCAGATACAAATAACAGGGGCTACCTGAGGCAGAAGCAGGCGGGAAAGCTATGGGTGCGGGAGAGGGTGGAACAGCTGCTTGACCCTGGCAGCTTTCAAGAAGTAGGCAGTGTGAGCGGGACAGTCAAATGGAAGCAACTCGGGCCAGTGAAAGAAGAACCAGAAGAATATGTGCCCTCGAACAACGTGCAAGGTATGGTCATAGAGATGATACTAAGAAAATGTATTCACAATTGGCAGGCTTCGGGCGACTACGAGGTCGAAAGATTGTATTCACGGCTGATGACTTTTCCATTCGCGCCGGACATGCTGATGGCGCCCTTATGGAGAAAACAGTAAGCTGGTTGTAACACAGCTAAGATACCACTACTAACGACTGTAGATATACATGGAAAAACTTGCTATTGCGCTGAAGCTACCCATTGTTAAACTTGTCGACGGCTCGTCAGGCGGCGGCTCCGTCACCACCATCCGCTCTACCGGCTTCTCCTACGTCCCTCCGCTACCTTCCTTCGCACAAGTGGTACAACAACTCAACATGGGTATACCGAACCTAGGCGCGGTGGTTGGACCGGCCATCGGCTTAGGAGCGGCTCGCGTGGTTGCCTGTCACTTTTCTGTCATGGCCGCCGACATTGGCTCCTTGTTCAACGCTGGCCCTAGTGTGGTGAAGAATGCGACATTCGAGGAGGGCCTGTCGTTCACAGATCTTGGTGGGCCAGCAATGCATTGTACCAACGGAACTATCGATAATCTGGCACCGGATGAGGCAGGCTGCTTCGAACAGATACGAACAGTTTTGGGCTACTTACCTGATTGCGGTACGAAGCTGCCTCCAGTAATTGACTGCTCTGATCCAGTCGACCGAATGTCGGAAACCCTCCGATCCATCATTCCGCGTTCTAAGAATCGCATGTATAACCCGCGCGCTATCATAACCGAAGTCGTGGACCAAGATTCATTCTTTGAGATCGGCGCGCTTTGGGGTACCACAGCCATTGTTGGCCTGGCACGGTTTGCAGGCAAGCCAGTCGGGATCGTGTCTCTAAACTGCGAACAGAATGCTGGCGCGCTGGATGCGTTGGGGTCGCAGAAGATCACGCGCATGCTGAAGTTCCTGGACGTCTTCAACCTTCCACTCATTCAATTCGTCGACGTCCCAGGTTACGCAATAGGAACCGTAGCAGAGCGCACTGCAACCATGCGGCACGGTGTCACTCTTGCTGCAACCTATTACAGCACAACCATGCCCATCTTCAACGTCATCGTACGCCGTGTCTACGGTGTAGCAGGAGGCATCATGCTAGACTGCCGCGACCCTCGCATGCGCGTTGCTTGGCCATCGGGCGTGTGGGGCTCCTTGCCACTCGAGGGCGGCATTGAAGTCGGGCACTCGTTCGAACTCAAGGAGATTGAAAGAAAAGAAGGTAAAGAGGCGCGGGACAAGCGTTATACAGAATTAGAGAACGAGTACAAACGATTGATGAATCCAGTCCGCACAGCGAATGCGTTCGGTATCGAGGAGATTATAGACCCGGCATATACGCGACGAGTTTGCTGTGAGTGGACAAGTCATATGTACGAGAGCTTACTGCCAGAGCGGATTCAGGAGCGGATCGCAGGGAAGTTGCAGCCTTCCTTCGCTTAGGCAATCGGATGTGTCTTCGAATCCAAGTGCTTCTAGAGCCGATTTCTCAATGCATACAGTTCGGTCTTCAATCCATACCATCACCTGTTCAGACACCGGTTTCTTCCACACCGAGATTGTGCAATTATAGGATAGGGGACACGTTTTCTGGTACTCGTTACTCCTACCTCAAGTATGTTGTCAGACCACGGCTTACCTACACCGCACTTCACTCCATTAAACCTATTGCACACGCGACATTCAGCCCCACCGCGGTCCGTTTTCCAGCGGCGCGGCAACTTCTACTCTATTGGTACCAATGTCGCGGTACCGAGACTTTGCTCGGTGAAGTCGCGCCAGGCTGACCATTTAGGGCATCGCTGAACACGGTAAATCAGGCTGCTACTGGTAATATACCCCCCTTGGCATAATATCAAGTCGAAAATACCCAATTAGGCAAGGTGGCTACCATGCCGATGTTTAGATGCGTCTCTCGACATCACAAGCATCTGGAAGCTCCTAACGTCCTATTATATTGAGCATACATCACGCAGCCGAATGCTTCATCTTACCGTTACGCAGATGCGAAGTAGCAAAACACATTTAGACGTGTGTGGCGTACAAACTTTATGGCTGTATCACCATGTTGTGAGCGAGTCTTGATTCGTCAAGGGTGGACGTCTTATATTACCACCAACATATGCGGGGCAAAGATCAATGCGACCATACCCTGTCGCCTTGCCACAGCCCGCTCGTTTGCATCGTCTCACTTGCATCCAATCTGATGATACGAATTATGATGCGCGGCACGAACCTGGGGTATATAGAACTAACGGGCACGCCCGCACGTCCCGGACGCCCATCAGTGCTAGCCGCCACAGCTTCGTCGATCTCGAATTAGCGACGATATTACACTGTACCACTGATCTCGGCTCAGATTTGAAGAGCGAAACCAGGGATGGCGCCTGTCGGCGCTGCCGCCGCTGCGAGGCAGGCAGAACCAGTATTGACGCGCATCGTTGAAGAGGACCAGATACCGTGGCATAAGAAGAGAAACTTGCGGAGGCTGTATGCGCTCTTGTTGCCGACGTGTATTGGGATTGAGATGACGTCTGGCTTTGATTCGCAGATGATCAACGCGGTGCAGATTGCACCGACATGGCAGATATGTGAGTTCTGATCACAACTACGGGCCTGCCCTTGCTAACGACCTAGACTTCAACGAACCACGAGGAGTGCTTCTCGGTATCATTTCCTCAGCATACAACCTAGGTGCGCTCTGCGCTCTACCACTTGTGCCCTACGTGAACGATAGATTTGGGCGACGATGGGCAATCTTCCTAGGCTCCTGGATCATGGTTGTCGGGGCGCTAGTTCAAGCTTTCTCAATCAGCGGTAGGGCAGGAAATGAAACAGACGCTCGGAAGTCATGCTAACAGTCATAGCTGGCATGTACATTGGCGCCAGGTTCATCATCGGTTTCGGCATACCATTCTGCATCATCGCTGGCTCGTCTTTGATGGGTGAGCTTGCGTATCCAAAGGAGCGGCCGATCATGACTTCTCTCTTCAATGCACTCTGGTTCGTAGGTTCGCTCATAGCAGCAGGAGTATCGTATGGCACTCAAAGTCTCAATGATGACTGGGCCTGGCGCATACCATCGCTTCTTCAGGCCGCTCCGTCATTACTCCAGATCGTATTCATCTTGTAATGACCCCCTTTCGCTCACCTGTCATTTTTCAACTCTGCTAACAGCCCCAGCATGATACCCGAATCACCCCGCTTCCTCATCTCTAAAGACCGTCGTGAAGAAGCCTACCGCACGCTGGTCACCTACCATGCAGAAGGCGACAGCTCTTCGCACTTTGCCGCTGCCGAAATGGCGCAAATCGAACACACAATTCGCATCGAACTTGAGCATTCGAAGCGCTCCTGGCGCGAGATGATCGCCGTTCCCGGTCTACGCAAGCGGGTCATTATTGGTTCTTTCCTGGGTCTCTTCACCCAATGGTCCGGCAATACCTTGCTGAGCTACTATCTGAACCAACTGCTAATCATGATTGGGTACGACGATCCGGGCTTTGCGGGGAAAGTGAACGTCGGACTCAACAGCTGGAACCTGTTCACTGCAGTGTCCTTTTCGCTATTGGTCCGACGCTTTCCACGCCGAAAGATGTACCTCATCTGCGCGACCAGCTTGTTGTGTTGCTATGTTGCATGGACAGTCGCTGTGCATCGTTACACTGCTACAAAGAACATTGAGCCAGCGAGGTTGACAATAGCGATTATCTTTTTGTATCAGGCATGTTATAATATTAGTTATAATGCACTTACCTACAGTGAGTTTCGACGAGAGAGTGGTGACAGATGGTGATGCTAACCGCGTTGCAGCATTTCTAGTCGAATTGTTCCCTTTTGCGCAACGTACCAAAGGCATCACCATCTTCCAGTTCTTTAGCAGAACAGCAGTCTTTACTACAACCACCCTCAACCCCGTCGGACTGCAACGCATACAAGGGCGCTGGCTTATAATGTACTGCGCTTGCCTAGTATTTGAAATCGTCTTCATTGTATGTGTTCCTCTGCTCATCTAGGCTCCATACTTCCTTCCAAGACGTTTCGTTCACTAACACAACAACTATAGTACTTTATGTTCCCCGAAACCTATGGTCGCACATTGGAAGAACTCGCATTCCTCTTCGAAGATCATGCGCGAGCTGATGAGGCGACGACGCATGTCCAGAAGCAGATGGAATGGTCGGAGAGAAGATGGAGTCGGATAGAGGAGCGGATGAGTTGGGAGATGGATGTCTTGATCCCGACAGTAGCGCAAAGTGGCCGGAGAGAAGAGACAAGGAACGACAGTATACTCCATTCACAAGACGTGATACGACGACATGATATGATGAGATAGACAACGTATCTAGTGAAGCAGTTCAGGACAAACTACACTACAACATTCACGATTGATCATGTTCTTGGAAATCGACCATGTCGACGACTCATCACTCGAGTTCGTAGCTGTGCCTTCGTGCCCGCAGTAAATGTAGCCGTATGTTTGCAACACACCCTCGTCTTACCTACCTTGGATGACCTCCTCCATATCCCCGCAATTCATGACGAGCCCTGCCAGGATTATCGTGAAGCGTACGAGATGTGTGTGGACCTTTGCAACCACCCGAATAATAGCTTTAATAATCTATTACTGGAACCGGAGGAGTCTGTTCATGAAGATACTTAAGAGGATCCGGACGAGCAGGCGTTAAACAACATAGACGCGAAGTAGGATGAGCTCGCCTGCAATCTACCCAACCACACTAGTAACAATGTTAACGCTTTCGACATGCTCAGTCGCCGCCCTAAGGACTAAGTTAACTAGAGTAGCTGTGTAGGCACCTAGCCTGATCTAAAAGACAACTAGTGGAAAGTTTATAAAGCTGACTACCCAGTTGTCTCACGCGATGACGGGCCTATCACACCATACGAGAAACTTGAAGTCAAGCAACTACAGTGCCCCCTAAAGGCACGATAGAGTTAATGCCTGCACCAAACTATCGCCGTCCAGAGACCGAGAAGCGCGACCTCGTTCCTGAGATCTCAGATATCAGCTTCTACCCAGTTGGTTGCGCTTTGGGCGGAGATGAAAGAAGGTTCAGCCTGACGGTTACGTATTCGTCGCGGAATGTTCTGTAGGGATCGTTGCGCGCATGAAGAAAGACACACAGAGATATTGATTAACAACTGTAGCCAAAGAGAATCAGGTCTCCAGCAGACCCAAAGGCACATGCTTCACCCTCAAAGTCAGACAAGAAGGCGAGGCGACAACGAGCGTCAGCGAGTTCGTCGCCTCCGCCAGCCGCGCAGCGGCGCCCCCCAGAGAAGATTAGCATGGCCCCTGCACTAAGGATGACACGCTCAATCAAAGAGAAGCTGCCATTTTTTTGCTCTCGATCTGGCGACTGAGACGATGTGATGATAGGGTCTGAAAGGTTCACAGAAAATATTGCTGCCTATAAACGGCTGTGAAGCAATGTCTGCTGCAAACGGTTGATATTTTGGTATGTGAGAAAAGGTCGCTAGACCCTTGCGCAGCAAAAAGAGCGCAAAAAGAAGACTTCCACCCGACTCGAACACGAACTCTGGCACCACAGCAGGGTCAAAGGAGTCAGATCGAAAGAGCAAAAAAATGGTAGCTTCTCTTTGATTGAGCGTGTCATCCTTAGTGCAGGGGCCATGCTAATCTTCTCTGTATCGTTTCAAATTGACCAAATGCCCGAAGGCGAAGGATAGCAAAATCTTGTGGTATATGACCACAGCGAGCATGGGTGGCGCTGTTGACGCTGTCTGAGGCTCGTGCGCCGTGCACAGCGCAAAAAACTGGGTCGGTGGCGGGTAGGTAATCCGAAACCTGAAAAATAGGCTAGCCTAGGACTCCTGATCCGAATAGTCTTTGGGCGACCGGGGCGTCCACGGATTACTAGGGTCCTGGAATGCTGGCTATTATAGGCGGGCGCAGCCCGCCTATAACAATCACAGCTGGAGGAGACATCGTCTACTGTCACCTAATAATAGCATGTCGTATGATACCCAGGAGGTATTCGCCATCTCTTGTTCCATTTGACACTGGATACTTAAACCGATGTATTCAGCAGGCTGAGAGGAATAGTTTCCGATAGCAGGTCGGGTACCTACGTAGTTGTCGCTTCGATCAGATCGGTCAAAACTGCTAGACATGCAATTAGCAGTTTGCAACGTCGCACAAAACAATCTCGATGTCCGAATCGTCTCTTGAAGTTCTCTAACAATAATTAGTACTTTCTTGTGCATTCTCGGCCCAGGTCGTTCCAGCTGAAGACGCCAGGTCCATATCCTATTGCGTGTGTGCGAAATCAGTGTATGTCCCACATGCAGTTCGTACAGGGACAGTTCTTGTTAAGCGTGAGAAAAGGTCTCGTACTCTGAATCGGGACGAGATTTAATTTAAGAAGAGCAGAGCCTGCAACAGAACCTGGGTATTGTCGGAGAAGATGCGATGGTGCGAAAGATGACAAGACAATGGTATGAATTTGATGTTTACCCCTCCACCCCACTTGCACTTCGCGAAACTGGAAGGCACGTCACAAGCGCGATTGCCTCGCGCTTGCCGAAACAAAGTTGTGACCTGTACGCAAGGAATGCGATATCCAAAAATCTTCTGAACTACATATAGCGTAATTCGTATCCTCAAGCACATGTATTTCAACCAAGACGCGAAACAGCCATACGAGGAGACAAGGGTATCATTGCTACACATCTACTCCTCCAACAAGTCCATCACCAACTGCGGAATGACTTGTACACCTTCGCCCTGTATCGCGCTGATCGGCACAGCCTGTACGTTGCGCCGCCATGCATGCTTGCGGTTGCTAGGATGAGGTTGCGCGCCCTTGCTCACATCTGCCAAATATACGCGAAGAGCCTCAAAGTTAGCCTGCGTATCCGGCAGGTCGGCCTTTGTCGCAACGACAAACCAAGGCTTCGACGAGATCGGTGTGGTAGTCAGGAAGGGCAGAGGCTTTGGCGACGGGTCCAAGTGCGGTGAGTCAATGAAGTCAGACGCGTCACTAGGGGGCGTGCTGACACCAGCGGGTCTGTATGTCACCGTCCTACGCTCCGTCTCCGCATTCAGTTCCTTGCCGCGTAGAGTCTCGTACTCAGACACTTCTCGCCAGAGCAGCTTGAGAGCAGCTACAGCGTCACCAGCAGACAAGTCGATGACGAAAGCGAGCACTGCGGCGCGTTCAATGTGTCGCAAGAAGCCTAGTCCAAGCCCTTTGTCGAGATGCGCATCCTCGATGAGTCCTGGTACATCTGCAATGGTAAAGTTCTCGCGCAGTTCTCCATTTGGCCTGCGCGATCTGACAAGTGGTCGTCCTTTGTGGTTGTCCAGAACCACAGTGCCAACGTTCGGCTGAAGAGTGGTAAAAGCCCAGTTGCCGACTCGCGCACGGCTATTGCTCAAAGCTCGAAGAAGCGTACTCTTTCCGGCATTGGGTAACCCTACTAATCCCAAGTCGGCCAGAATCTTCAATTCCAACTGCAGTGAAATCTTCAACCCCTCATCCCCCCGCGTGGCCATCTTAGGCCTGTTGTTGAAGGGAGTCATGAAGTGTGGATTACCCAAGCCGCCCATCGCTCCTGCCGCTATCAACATAGGTGTCTCCATGTGCTTGTCCAAGTCCAACCACATGGGCGCTTCTGGTTCAAGGGCCGCAAGGTGCGATCGTCGTGGCGGAGGAAGCTTAGGAAACTTGATCCTGCTCAGTTCTGAGGCTATAGTCCCAGGATAGACCAGCCATCGGTCTCTTCTGTAGCTTGGTTGCCCCTCCTCCAACTCTTCCGCATCTTCGTTTTGCTGCATTTTCCAGTGCTCTTCCTCCATTATCGCGACCGGATCATGTCTTTGCAACTCGCGCACAATGGTCCCTACCGGCACCGTGATCAGGACGTCGGCCCCGCGCTCGCCACCTTTGACCTTGCCCTGTCCATTGCGTCCTCTGCCAGCCTTGATTTGTCGCCGACGAGCAAGCTTGTGTAGCGATGTCTCACCACGGACTGCTTGTATGTAGATGTTTCCTCCGCTACCACCGTCGCCACCATTTGCAGGCCCTTCTTCAATATATTTCTCGCGCAAGAACGAGACGCAGCCGTGACCGCCGCCACCAGCTTCAACAGTCAAAATGCATCGATCGGCAAAAGGCGTAAGGGCATAGTCGTCCGCTGCGGGGTCTAGTCGCGCATTCGGGTGAGCGTCGGGCTGCTCAGCAGACGTAGAGTTGCATCTGAGCTGGATCGGAAATCGTTTACGAAGCGGACATCTGCGCGCAGCCGAGGCAAGTGGCACCTGGAGAAAGGCGGGATACAGGAACGGCGTCAGCGTACCGCTTAGGCTATGCGGACGAGCGAACGACATGCGTTAATTGCGAACGTGGCGTGGTCGGGAAGAATGTTCAGTATCATGAATTCCACACGCATAGAATCGCGTCGCGGGACTAGCGAATGACGGCCCCAGATCCGATGATCTGCATCACGCTTGTACAAGCTAGTCCAACATGCCTCGGTATCCAGCATTATTTGAAAGTACATATGACTTCTTGGACCAGCTATACGTGAAACAAACATTCAGTTGTTGGCCCAACCTCCATCGCCTTTTGACTAGACCCCACTCTCGTATCATCCTCAATCCCCAATCCGCCCCATCCTCAATAACATCTCCGCCCCAATCACTAGCCCCCATCATGATACGCTGTGCCTTACTCACCCTGGCATCAGTCATGCTCAGAGTTGCCAAGCCCGAGTACTTCAGGTTGGGTGGGAAACTTGGTCTTTCTAGCAGCCAGCTTGTAACCCTCCATTGGTACCTCAAGTGGGCGCTGCCACTATGGGCCGTACTAGACCTCAACTCGGTACTCAATCGTTTTGCCGAAAGACGATGGATTTGGAAGACGGATAAGAGTATTTGGGATTGGAAGCGTGAGGTTGCTGTGGTGACAGGGGGCTCCGCTGGCATTGGGGGTTGCGTGGTCAAGAAGCTCACCTCTCATGGCATCAGGGTCGCGGTTCTAGACGTTAGCCCTCTGTCAGAGATCTTCACCAAAGGTCCGTTGCGGCACACAACCGCCATGTTTCATACTAACCAAGATAGATGAGCTTGCCCTCGTACGATACTACAAATGTGACATTACGTCGCGAGACAACATCCACCAAGCGGCGGAAGCCATACGATCCGATTTGGGTTCACCAACTATCCTTATCAACAACGCTGGCATTGGTAACGCGTGGACTATCAAGGATATCCCACAACAGAATCTGAACAAGATGTTCGACATCAACCTTCTGAGTCACTGGAGTACTGTCCAGGAGTTTCTGCCAGACATGCTCGCTAAGAAAAAAGGCCACATCATGGGTGTCGCAAGTCTTGCTTCCTTCGTTGCTTTGGCCGGTGCCGTTGACTACAGCTGCACCAAGGCGGCGCTCCTGGCTTTCCACGAAGGATTGACGCAAGAGATCAAGCATCGCTACAAGTGCCCGTCCATCCAGACCTCCATCGTCCATCCAAATTGGACCAAGTCTGCTATAACGTCGCATGAGGCCATTGCGGCGGGGCTGAAAAACGTTCGCGCAAAAATCCTACAACCAGAAGATGTCGCCGAGGCCATGGTGGACCAAATTATTCAAGTGAAGAGTGGACAGCTGATTTTGGGCCCAGCGCTATCTCCTAAAATCAGGGCACTGCCTCTTTGGATACAGGAGCTCATTCGAGATAGCCAGGCCTACGTCGTCACCGGCGACGGCTCGACAGCGAGTGGCTAGGTGCATGAACTGTTCCTTCGAGTCGATGATGACACTGGAGCGCGGCAGTTACGAACGGTGCGGTACGGAGCGCACCCGTTCCAGCCGCTTGGGGCCAGGATCCCCAACGAGAATAGGGCAGGTTCGACTAGAAACACGGTGCCGCAATCTGGACAGCTTCGTTGGAATTTTGCCGCCCAGCCGAATCAGCAACACAGACGCCGTCAAGGTCGCTGAGGTTACAGAGGTCTGCGCCACGTCAATACCGGGGTCGGCAATCAAATCGCGCTTCTTCTGTCACTTTAGCGAAGTCGATAGTTGATATTTTGCGCAGCACATCATGGGTATGCGACAGAAATGCGACATCTTACTATGTTATATTCGATCGGGCGGCAGATTTCCAAAATGCGAACGATTGAGCGCCACAGCCGGGTTCTGAGCTAATCATAGGTGATGCTATGAGTATTCTCGGGGTTGTATGCAGGTATCATCGACTCAGCCCCATGTTCCTACAGGGACCATGCAAGGTACCTCACACCAACCCTAACTCGGCCCGAACAAAGTGTAACCACACGAAGGACATTGGTCTTTGCGCAAGAGGCGCGGGACTCAATAGTTATATGTCACTTCTTTGTTCTCTGTTTCATCGTCTCCGGGTAGCTGTTGTGTTACGTCTGCCTCGCTGTTGTGACTCTGCTTTGCTTTCCTCAAGTCATTCGTTTCAGATCGTGTGAGCATGCAATGGGCTGGTTCGCGGGAGCTGTATTCGCTTATTGCACCGCATCTTTGGTAATTGGAAGTAATGTCGAATTTAATTGGAAGAGTGAGTGAACTGTTGCACGCGTTTTAGTTGTACCTACTGACACATCGACGCAGATGCAAGACTCTCTAATACACATATCACGAACGAAAGATTTCCTACATTTCCGCGCCGCGATTTACCCTTTACCAACGGTACAAGTACATTGGAAACAGTTCAGACTACGTCGAGGGTATCGTCATCTCCTCTTTCTTCTACGTCAAAGTCAGAGAGCAGCACGACTTGGACAGTCATCGTTCATGAGATGACTTCCTCTCAACAGCCCGACACCTCGACACGTTCTTCAGTGGCTGAAGCAGGCACACCCGTCAGTGAAAGTAATAATGTGCCTGCGAAAACATCCACTAGAAGCGAGTCGTCAACGGTATTGCCGACCACCACAGTAGTGCAACAGCCAACTGCACTTTCGTCAATCTTTTTGATCAGCTCCAGACAGACTTCTATATCCAGTCACACATCTCCAGGTTCATCTGGAACTGCTTCTTCCATACGCACATCGTCTACTGTCAAAGAACTATCGATCGTTTCAGAGGCCAGGTCGACCGCGAACCCAATATCCTCTACAGCATGGGTCAACACAGATCCATCGCGGGTCTCAGACGTCCAGCTGCCAACAAGCATATCTTCTGCCATCATCTCATTACAAAGCACTCCTTCTAAAAGCCTACAGCTACCAGTAAGCGTCATCAAGTCACAACAGAGCACTCTAGACAGCATCTCAAGCCTGACGGTGTCCGCTACAACAACAAAACAGAGTGCAACTAAGCTTTCCATGCCTGGAACAGCGTTTTTCACCTCTTCGACAACAAGACAACAAGACTCATCGTCTGATACATCAACCGAGGTATCCAATATAGTGCTACCTCTTACGCAGACGTCGTGGGCTTTCTCTCGGACCGTCACTGCTGATGCTATTGCAATCACTACGATTGTAGCTGATTTCTCAAGCTTTTCACAAGCTACGGCGACAAACATATCAAGCCTGAAGTCTCTTTCACCCATGACCGAAGATAGCGCGTCGCCAACCTCCACCTTGACGCTGCCAACGCCCTCAGGTTCTCCAACAACAATCGCAGGACTACCACAGCACTCGGTACTTAGTCTTACAAGCTGGCTGAAACCAAGCTACCCAGCAACCATCGATAGTAGCAGTTTGGCCACCATCACACGCTTGGCTACGCCGACCAGTACGATATCCGTCTCTCAGGCGACCAGTCTTTCTAGCCTAGTGTTGTCAGAAATTTCCCTCTATTCAACGATCTCGGGGTCGTCTCTAGGGTCCATTCCAACCAGCGAAGCAAAGAACAAGAATAATACAGCAATCGGGACAGAATTTGTTCAGTCTAGCAGTTTACTGATCGACATCTCGACTCTCACTTTTGGTGGCAGTCTCACCATCTCTGCATCAGTCACCTTTGGAGATTCTACACTGTCTCGAATCATAATTCCAACGGATAGTATCGTCGCAACCGTGACCGGTAATACAAGCTCGACGGCGTCAATCACTACTATGTCAATACGGGCGACTGGACTGGGAGCTCATTCTGCAACAGAAAATCGCACCGTGTCGTCCTCAGTGGCTCTTAGTACTACGTCCCTGGAAACAAGTGTCCTTCCGAGTGCCGGTACAAATGGATCGTCTCCCAGTACAGTCGAAACATCTTCATTCAGTTCGTCAATCTCCGCCTCTCTTACTCAAATCATCATATCCTCTACGACTAGCCGGACTCTGAGCACTGCATCGTCCATCCAGTCTGTAGGGATCCCAACTGCACCAATTGAGTCGGATCGTAACATTACTGTAACATCGACCACCGCTTCAACAGCCACTACGATGATGTCTCTCTCCTCTTGGTTGCACCCTTCCCTCTCAGCATCTCTTGTTGGGTCGGGTAACATCTCGCTTCCCAGCACCACTCGGACATACACTTCTACTGGAACTGCTGCTGTCACTGAGTCAATTAGTACCTCTCATGCTAGCAGATCAGGCAGTTCACACATGTCTCCCGCATTTGGGTCAATCTCTCCGTCCACTACCACGTCTGCCAGTTTCTCTATTCCCACGTCAGCAAGCCCTACCTCGGTCAGCTATATATATACATCAAAAAGTACGACCATTTCTCTAATCAGTACCTTTGTGACGAAGACAAGAACTCAGAGTTCCATTCTAAGCTCGCGCACAGGCTCATTGTCAAACGACGTTCACAAGGATTCAACACGGACTCCAAGTGCAGTCCATACATCTACCAGCAGTCCTACCGAGACAGTGGTTGCAGCAGCTGCACCTAAATTGACCCCATCGCAAACAGCTGGGGTTGCTTTAGGTAGTACAGCTGGGGTTCTCCTTGCGATCGTCGCAGCGATCTTTGTCGCTCGCCGCAATCATGCGATGCATGCAGCAAAGCACGAAAGCTTGGGATCCTCTGGTGTCTACCCTAAAGTCGCATACTTGTACGATCCTTCGCTTGGTGACAATGGTGGTAGAGATAGCGAAGATGATGAGGCATTAGCCTTCATGTCCGGTGGTGCCAGTGGATTGCTATCAACTGGAAGCAGAACACCTCCTCGAGCGCCTCAAAACTCTTTCGATTACGACTCTCCTAACTGGCAATACAGCGACCCTGGTAACCCGTTCAAAGATCCAGAGGACCCCTTCCTGGACTGGCGAAGTAGTGACGCGATTAATTCACCAAGTGAAACTGCATCTGCTCTTGCTGCTGCGGTCGCAGAGTACGGGGCAGGGCCGCAAAAGCCTCTCCCGCCTGTACCGCTTTCCTTGACGCCTCTCTTTCACGATCATGTCATTCCATCGCCAACTTTGAGTCCTATGGTCAATGGCTGTAGCTTGCGTCGCAGTCACGCACGATCGTCAAGAGGGAGTAGTGTCAGAAGTCAAAGGTCATTGAGAGGTTTCCACGCTTGTCCTCCAACATCTCCTAGTTCAACGAATCACCCGTCAGGCTTACGTGGTCCGCGACGAAGCCTATCATCCATCAAAGAGGGACACGTCGATGATCCCTTCATAGATGCGATAGAGCATGATCTTCTTCTACCAGTGGACGTTCGAACGGAAACACCAGATTCAGTGATGGTTTATGCGCCGGTGCCGAGGACACCAATGCGATCAGCCTTGTCAACAATACTTTCGGACGACCAGACATCCACAGCTTCATTACCGAGTATAGCTGCTGCGAAATCTCTAGCAGGTGCTCAGCCTCGATCAACTGGTAGCATACTCTTCCCTACATCTAAAAATGACCAATATTCGTATGCTTCGTTTGTTTACAACAACACCTTACCACTATCACATCCTGACCGGCCGAACAGCGATCAAATAACCGCTCAGAAGAGATGCTCTTTCTTCTCTTCGTCTCGATCCCCACAGCCGACTTCAGTGCCTCGAAACAAAGGCTGGGAAGAGATCAAACGCACTTCCAATGGCACATCCAGTCTTCACTCACCTTTGCCAACACCGCCTCTTCATAGTTTTGCTCCGCCGCGGCCGAATCTCTCTCCTCCACCTCCTCTCAAGAAACGTTCCTTGATCCAACTCCGCCGCAAGACGCCATTGACTGGTACAGGCCAGCTTATGGTATCGACACGAAATCCTTACCCAGCTTCTTCTACACCGTCGGCAGTGAAGGCAAGCTTCATGTTCAACTCGAACAAGAGTTTTGAAGGCCCACGGATGAGTCTGCTTGCCAAAGTGAACAGCATGGGCGACATGAGAGACGAGGCAGCAAGTCCAAAGAAGAGAAAAGGAAAGGGACTTGGGTACCGCGATTCTGTCTCCCGGAAGGTGGAGATGAGATCCCGATGGAGTCCTTCGGAGGTAGGGAGGTCATTCTGAGCTTCAAATTGGCTCAGGCCACAGTATCGCGTGTAATGTCTTTCCTTCAACTCTCAATCGTTGCTACCGAAGACATGACAGCTTCCGTGTATCTCTGGGTCTTCGATACCATGATCTATCTTTACGACCCCGACTAACACTGGTCGGGACCTGCCTCTACGCATCTTCTTAGCCTTTTTTCCTGAATATCGCTGCATTTATTCATAGCATTAGTAGCACTAGAATCTCCTTATCCTGTGCTACTGCATAATACAGTTTACTGCAGAACCCTTCTCTTGTACATAAGACTGGTGCCGCTAGCTTCTCATCATACATAATACAATGACAGTACCTTATCAACTTGACAATGCCACTGAGCCGAGTTCTTCATGCAGTCTCTCCAACATGGCCAAGATACGAGGCACATGGTTAGCATCCGAAGACTGTCCGGATCATCTTCGCGAGACCGCATACTACCGTGAAGATCTTGCTCCACTTGGTGAATGAAGCGTGCATCCCTTTCTTGCGGTGAGGACCCATATGCAGCCATCTTTCATACCAAATGCTCCACACATACATGCTTCCTTCCCAATACCCCACATGTGTTACCGTGTTACAAGAAATAAACACGCGCAAGCCCTCTTTTGCACTAAAGCTACAAGCAATGCACTCTTCATATGCGCCCCATCTACAAGCATGCCACCATCAATTGTAACCCACCTCATCGTACGACCCATAGCCGAAAGCTCACCCCTCTTCCGTCATCACTCAGTGCAGCCTTTGGGCATCTGCAAGCTCTGCCGTCATGCTAGCCTTAAACCTTATCCCTACATCACGACTCCTACCACCTACCGCTACTGGCTCCCGCTCCCCGGGGCAAGATTCCGGTCGGATACAGCGATCTAATAGGGGGGCGCCAAAGTCAGGGTAATTGTGCTTGTTCCGAGGCTGATGGACTCTAACTTAACCTTGGTGGGTATATGCCGCACACCTGCGTCTTCCCTGTCATCTGCGTCTGTGAGCTGCTGCATGTACGATGGTGTTGCATAGTGTGGAAACGAGATCATGAAAAATATGGTCCAGGGATCGCGTGCCGCAAGGAGAGGAATATGCAGGTGGCTTTTGTTTTTGAATCTCAGCTCGTGTGCGCCTACACACTAGCATCTTGCAGTGTAAGCGCGCTGCAGTGGCGGTAGTGGTAGCGGTGAACCGCGAAATGTTCGAACACCCTCGCGATCGAGCCGCAAAAACCAGGCTGACATGTGGACGGAGCAAACTCCGGAGTCCTGCGATGCACCTGCAGCCTCACCCTGCTTTTCCCAGACTACTTGCCCTATCCCGAGAGCTGCCGTTGAGAAAGGGTGTTCAGCCGAGTTCGACCGACAACTTTGACTTCTAGAAAGGGACAAACGACCTGCATATCTGATGAAACGAAAAAGCAAAAACGGAAACGTCATCCAGCGTTCGCCTCGGCGATTAACAGCAAAGAGGAGATTTGCAATCTTGTATGCAGGCTGATCTCTCGTGTGATGCTCATGGTTCGCATTGGGGTATAATCTAATAGTGTTTGTACATCATAATATCGGGACCGTAAAAGATCTGGGCCCCAAGAAATTCCCCAGCAAACCATCTTCGGATAGCGCGGTATCTGTGCTTCTGGGCACAATGCGGCTTTCTCCGCGTGCTCCCTTGAAGAAGATCCAGAACGTGGTAGCCATGCTTGTATCGCAAAGATCGTTCCAGATCATGAGAGAGCCATCAACGGTCAAGAGCCCAGAGCGAGATTCGCCACACCAACACATGCATCGTCAGTTTCCCCATTGCTCTTCTGGCCATGAGCTTCGAGCCAAAAACAAAGGCGCTGACAGCCACCATTACCACTGACCTTCACCATCGTCGTTTGATGAATCACCAATATGCTGGTAGGCAAGCATCAGGCCATATCTACGCCGCTGCGCTTATTCTTCTTGCGTGCCCACACATCATCAAGCCACTCGTGGGGTCCCTCAATCTCGATGGGACCGGGGCACAGTGGAAGCCTCTGTCGGTGTTTCTTCTCATACTCGCGGATCGCGATGTGACACTCGATTTCTTGCGCTATGCGCTTAAGCAGCTTCTTTGCTTGTTCATGATACTCAGGGAGGGTACTAAGAGTCTTTTCTGCCATGATTTTAGCCTCATTTGCCGACCCTTGGACGAGGCTGAAGAAAATTTGACGCCTGTAGAACTCCATGGATGTATCCTGGGGAGGTGTTAGACCACCAAGCTCGCGTGTGAGAATTAGTGGACTCTCTGTGTAGATCCAGGATCGTGCACCGTGAAGTGAAGTGTGATGTAGTACCTGTACGTCTAGGATGTGGACCTTAGTTGCACCCATGCGGACGGCGTTTAGTAGCTCCTGTCTCAGTCCATTGGCGTCTAAACTCGAATTGAGAATAGGATCGTTGGAGTCAAGCTTGACACTCTGGGTCTCAGCCTTGTTGATGCGAAGGCGAGTGAAGAGTGTGTGAACTTGTCCTGGGAACAAATGAGGGATCGCCTTGTGTCCGTAAACATCCAAAACCTCACAGCCTGACTTGGGCCGAATTTCCACACTCAAGTCAGTCAGCTCGCCGACGGGCTTCTCAGACCGAGCATTCTTCAAGATGCGCTTGATGCGACCAGAGGTGGATTGGTACTTGCACCAGTTACTGGCGAACACATTCTTGCAGCAATCTTCAAGGCAGACGATGTCTTGAAATTCTGGCTCGCGACGATAGGGAAGAAGCGCAGGATTGATGCGATGGATGTAAAGGCCTGGAAATGTCTTCGACACGTCGTGTAGAACATGGGCTACAGGAGAGAGCACGATGATATGAGTAAGACCAGCCTTCAGGTGTTTGCCTTGCATAGACCTGGCTATGCCAAGGATGACGTCGGTCATGGAGGGGTTGGGACGAGGCGGGTCCCATAGCTGCGAACCCGACTGTGCGATCCCCGACGTCAACTCCTGGAATATCTCTTCGACATCCGCACACACGGATTGAAGTGGGTACAGTACCTCTGGCCTGTTTCCAGTGACATCACGGTGGGTGCAATGAGTGGTGTATAGAGCCAGGCGATCTCCATGGCCAAGATGATGCTATAAAAAGTAAGCAGGTGGCTCCTGGGAACTGCAAAATAGTGGCTCACCAAGGCTCCATTGACAACGTCCAATGACCTCTCCAGACAAGCTGTGGTGACATAGTACCTGTGATCAACGTCAGCTGCCATCATCTGCTGCATCGCATGAGCACCGACCCGTTGTCTACCACGAAGATCACATCGATCCCGGTATCAGGCAGAGGTGTTCGGTTGTACAGGACACCCTCGATATCAATAGCGACGCCGAGCTCTTGGTACTCCTCGGTAACAAGCTTTTCCTCTGGGAACAGTCTAATCGCTGCCCGAAGAGTAGTCGGCAATAGTGAGCTTGAGCCTGACACTTGTGCATCGGATGTCTCGTGATCAAAGTCCGTAGGGGAAGGAAGACGCTTGGCAATGCGGCCCATAATGGAGCTGAACTTCTCTCCACTGGATGAATTTAGTAGCTGATGCACAAAACCGTTGGGATCAACGCACTTGCGGGCATTACGTAGCAAGTAAGCCTCGACAGCTTCGTCGCCCGGATACTCTACCGATGAACCTTCCTCGATCCCAACATGAAATCCAAGCGATGTAGTGCCCGTTGGCGAGCTTGAATCTGACGTATCGCCAACACCAGCGCTCGTATCTCCGGTATTCTGGCGACGCAAGAGGGGTAGACCACTTGTGAAAAGCCGCAACTTGGACATACGCCGCTTTGGAGGCTCAGCACGGTGTTCGGGTTTGCTATTCACTTTCTCAAGAGCCTGTTGTGCGCTCATGTGTTCAGCGCCAGCAGCAAAATCAGGAGGCTTGGATGCATGCATAGCCTTGCTCGACAGCATGTCGATCGAGGGCCAGGGGGGAAATTCAGTGGTATGCACGGAACGTACCGGGCCGCCGCTCTCGGGCTCGTCATAGCTGTTGTTGCGCGGAGACGCCATCGAATGTCCTAGGCTTGAGCCTGAGGCTGACGAGCGGCTGTTTCTATTCTTCCGTATTGTCAGAGGATGGTCGCTAGGAGTGCGACTGACGGGAAGAGGTGTTACACTCCACGACCACGGTGCTTTGAGTGGGCGCTCCCAGCCAAACACGGACGACTCGAAGCTATAGTCGAGTGGTAACTCCCAAATATCGCTTTTGATCTCGTCGATGATATCGTCTAGCGGCCCGAACACGTACTGGTCGTCGCTGGAGGTAGGGGTTGACTTACGAAATATTCGCCGTCGAAAAGTTGCTTTGCGCGACTTTTTCTGGATGGTGAGTGGGGGTGGGCAGAGAGGTGCGCGGTCCGAGAAGATACCGCCAGCTGTTATCGTTGTGATCATTGTGAATTCGCTCGAAACAGCAACAAACGGAAGCTCAGTCACCGCGGTGCGCTCACTCTCACCACGAGTTGTCTCCAGAGCGCGTGGTCTCTCAACGCGCAATGACAAACGGAATGGGGATAGATAAGAAGAGTAGCCAATGCGTAAATTGAGATGTGCGTTTGAGACGTAGGCATGATAATGAGAGTCGGCTGAGGTAAGTATTCCAGAAGGAGAAGCGCTGAAATGAGTTGGAAGGTGCGAATGGGTGCGTCAACAAACCTGTGGCGTTCCTGCCCTGGAGAGCACGCTGTTGAACTTCACTTCAAACTGCGTTTCCGTGGAGAGTTTTGTGCTCATGCATTCATACGTGAATCGATGCCCTATAGGTCTTACGCCATAAATTGACAACTACGCCTCACCAATTTGTGCGGCAGCGACTTCCATGTGCTTCTTCATCTGCTCATGCATCTCGTCGTCCGCTTCACGAAAGCGAATCTATCGCAGAAGTAAGCACTGGCTTAGTCAGATATTACTGCAACTTACTATGTCTTCCCCAGCGCCAGTGCCGAATAGGACTGGCTCAGATATACTAGCCTTGACTGCTTTTCTTACGCGATCTTCCCATACTCCTTCCCAGTTCCACTCTCCTGGTCGTCGATTACGTCCAAGTGCAGACGCACCCTCTGGATTCTCCGTCGTGGAAGGCTCAAGGCTAGGAGATGTTGGGTTTGACTGTTGAGATTGCAATACTGGAGCCCGATGCGCCCGCCACGCGTGGTAGGCGCCTGGGTTCGCAGCTGCCTCTAATGGGAGTGAGTCCAATATTGATTCTTCACTAAACGTCGAGCGGATGTACTCTAGCATGCGTACGATGGAGTATTCGGCCGTTGGCTGGGTACCGCCGAGGACACCAGAGGTAACATTGGAGTCGGAACGCATAGGAAGTACATTTGAAGATGCACTGACATCACGAGAATTTGGTACAGATCTTCGAGCTCTTCCGAACCAGTGTGGAAAGCCGTGTCGTAAACTGAACCCTCCAGGTGGTAGCCGTTCCTCGTCTGTTGCACTTACGGTATCCGTGTCGGCGGATCCAGTCGTGTAAGTATACGTGGTAAGTGGCGTGAGCAGCGGGTGAAAGACATCGGTAGAGAAGGTCACGAGGGGTGGTATGGCAGGATAGCTGGGTGGAAAAGATATTTGGAAGCGTAAGACTGCGGGCGCGTATGGTCCTGTCAAACGTGAATAATGCCGGTCTGCAATGACAGGGAACGCAAGACGATCGCCTAGTCCTATGGTACAGCCTACCTTTTCGCACGAATATTACACCAAACCACAGTGACGGGTCGCCAGGTGTGATACTCAAGAAAATGCCATCAAGCTGTGCATAGCGCAGACGGGAGCTGTGCAGAGTTAGGGAACGTCGCCGCCAAGTCATGTGCCTCGACTCACAACTCGACGAGAAGATGCTGCTTCCGAAAAGACGGGAGAGCCGACGCTGAGACGGACAACGGCATCTCGTGAGCAACGATGATGGTTGTTGGTCGTTCGGCTTCTTACAAGCACGGCGCCTGCGACGATGAGAGCCGAAGCGCGTTTGACGCTAGTGCTAACCGATCTGCGCCCTCACCTGCTTCAGTCTAACGCGCTGTCCCACCCTACCATTCGCTGAGCGTACAATACCACCAACATGGCCCTGTATCTCACCAGGTCGCGTATGGAGATGCGCGCAAGGTAGGATCGTAACGACTATATGCTGCTCGTCCAAGTAGCAGTCCGCAATTCGTGGCTGTCTGATCGGATTGATTACTTGTCGGATGCGACACCCGCGTTGAGCAGATTCCATGCATCACCAGTGGATGTGTTCGCAGTAACACTGCGCGCATCCTTCGCAACTGCCAGGTGCCGGACTGCCGCTCAACCCTCGTCGCCCATCTATGTCAGGCCCTGCTCGGGACGTTGTCTGCGGCACTGGGACAAGGCTCTGACTGTGTTGTTGAGACCGATCAGGTGTGCCGGCAGGCTCGCAACGGTCCGGCTGAACGCACACCACCGGACTCACGTCAGAACGCAATACAGGACGCATGACCGCGTGCGCCGTTGGCACCGACGAGTCAGAGCGGAACTGGCTCACACACACCTACAACGTTGCAAAACGTCGGAGTTCGGGACGTGATGTTAGTGATCCCGTCCTGCGACTGCCGAGACATCCTATCCTCAAGCATCAGGATAATGAGCCTTTGCCGTCCTATGCTTATTCTGAGACGCCGTGCCGCGCCTGTGATGATTGATGACCACGTCGTACAGCCCTTGAGTGGAAATGCGCTGGCTCCAGCCAGCTCATCATAGGCAGCCTTACGCGACGGCGTTACATGTCGTCGCGACCGAAGGCATACGAAGCCTTGTACGTAGGTAGAGTTGACGCCGGATCGAGCAACAGGCTGCTGCAGAATGATCGGGCAGCGTCAATTCCGATCGACCCACGCTACCGGTTTCGAGGCTGGCTTTTCGTTTTTGTACACTCGTGCCGACAAGCGCGTGAACACCCCAATCCTCCGAAATCTCTCCAACCCACGCCCTCGTCTGGCATCTGCTGTCATCTTCGTCACGGCGCTATGAGTTATGCTATTGCCTAAGAGCAAAGAAGCATGGTGTCTTTTTCGGAGGATTCCATCAGAGCAATAAGAGGGCCAGGGGGCGTTATCCTAAAGACGCTAAAAAAGGCGGTGGCTGTCTCAGACGCTTCCATCTTTTTGCGAACCCTGTCCTCGCGTGGAAATCTGCAGGCCAGCCTTACATATCCACACCGCCATGACCGCTTAGGCCAGGTTGCGTCGAAACAGCCGTTGTGCCTTGACACCTTTCCATCAGCCAGCAGAGATCGCTGGAAAACCGCGACAGCTCACTTACAACACACGACGGACGCATGTCCGGGCCCACCGGAAATCAAATTGCTGGCAATGCCTAGCCAAGCGGTCTGAACTGGGCAGCAGTACAGATGCTACGTCGCCGCAGATGGGCGCAAAGCATGGTCAGCTGATGGAATTCCTAGGGTTATGATGCCTTGATGACTGATGAGAATGCAATCACGATGTGTGACCAGCAATGACAGATGCAAGCACCAAGCCACGTCCTGCGACCCGGTTGGGCCCAATGCGCAGCTGTGGGAAGCTTCGAAACCACGCTGACCGGACAGGGGTGCAAAGAGATGATACCTGGGGCAGCAAATGAAATCGCCGCACGCCTTAGTGTGCCAGGTTGCGATCTGAGGGACACGAAACGCGCTGTGTCGTCCTGCTCGGCCACTCAAGCGATACGACTCGTGCCTTGTGGCGCTGACGACAACCCGGATCGTCATGTATTGCAACAAAGCGACTCCGTCTAATGCAGACTGCCGCGTGACCGGTTGTTGTGCAGTTACCCAATGGCATACGGTACACCGCTATTTTTTGGGGGTTTGTCGGAGCAATCAAGGTATGATGCCATGACAGATGCTGCTCATCATCAATGACAGCGAGGGCCATAGCGAGGGCCCCAGCATCGTGGTCCGAGCTGCTTCTCGAAATTCTGCGGCGAATCTTCTGACTCGCCTCATGTCAAAAGTCTGACCGCGGCGGTGTTCTGGTGCCCCTGAACTGGGCGCTGCGAAAATTAGCATCGCCTTGTGTTCTACACCATAGCCGGCACGGCGTCCTATTTGTCGGCGGGGCACCGGCCACTGGGCCGCTCTGTCCGTTTAGGAATGAGGACACGGCCAGCTACGGCCGGCATGTCGTTCACAGAGCGACAGGGTCTCCCCTGCTGTGGCTCGAATCAGGGCGCTAGTGCCTGTGAATGTCGGTAGAAGCATGCGGGCTCCTAGCGCCGAGGATTTGGGTCCCGGGGAGTCGGGTTGCTCTGTTGATCCTGTTCCTCTTACGAGCCACGTCCAACGCTCTTGCAACTCTCCCTGGTCCGCCTTACTCGGTTCCTTCTAGCTCGTCCAATGTCATGGATTCCGCCCAACCCGGACCGGTTTGTTCGATGAGCAGAAAGCTTCCCCAGCCCAGCCCTGGCCCACTCTCAGGGGTTTGCATTCGCTTTCGCATGCTCACACAGAGCCCGTCCGGTGACATGGAGTCACAAAAAACAGAGCTAGGTACAGCTCGGCTGCCAGCACTGCACATTCCGGTCGCTTATCGACAGACGGTGGGCTGTTTCGTAGCAACGATGGCATCACGGATCCGCTACTCATTTTACATTTGCTGGTCCCTCCGCTGTCCCTATCCGCCCACACTACGTATCCATACCCACTGGCATCACCGCTTGTTCTCCGTTTCTTCCCCGCCGCCACAATCCTTGCTCATCCCAGCGGTCTATCCGTTTTGAGGACGCCACTTAAATCTTGCTGCTCCTTATATACCTTGTGACGCTCGCGTCCTTTGCAAACTGACTCTGACCTCTGAGCCCTGGAGGTACTAATCTGTCGCAAACTCGCACATGTCTTATTTGTCTCAATCGACTCACACTCTACTTGACATCTACCACATTCAGTCATAGTGCTTGACATTCCTCTTCGACTACCTGCACACCTACACACTCGACCTTCACATTCGACTTCCATACTACCACCATGGCTCGGTATGGCGTGGCAGCTGCCGCGGGCAGCGACAGAACACCATTCCCAACTCGACAAATGGCCGTACTTGGTGAGCATCACACAGTTGATGGCTCGTAGCCGTTACTAACGACAGCAGCGTTATGCCGGATATGCGAACCAATCGCTTTCATGTCGATATTTCCGTACGCCTACTTCATGGTCGAATCATTCATGACCGGACAAAGCACCGCCCAGATCTCCATGTACACCGGCATGGTCACCTCCTCTTTCGCATTCATGGAGTGCATCAGTGGCATTTTTTGGGGCCGACTTAGTGACCGGGTAGGACGGAAGAAGGTGCTCTTAGGAGGTCTTTTTGGTACGGGGCTGAGCATGTTGCTGTTCGGCTTCTCTCAGAGCCTACCAATGGCATTGATCGCGCGGGCTCTCGGGGGTTTGCTCAACGGGTGAGGTCATAGTGTGATCTAGCGTACGAGCCTCGCTAACCTTATATGCAGGAACATCGGCGTTCTCCAGACCACCGTCGCTGAGCTTGTAACGGATGAGCGACATCAGCGTGAGTTTTGCCATAACTCTAATTATACGCCGCGCGAGACTGACTTTTGATAGCGCGCGCTTATTCCATCATGCCTTTTGTTTGGTGCCTTGGGTAAGAAATTACCGAACACGTTCCGAATTGTCCATGCTGACCGCTTTTTGTAGCACCATCATTGGCGGAGCGCTTGGCGGCTTGCTCGCTCGTCCCGCCAACGTAATGCCGTTTTTCCAGGACACCATCTTTGAGACGTACCCGTTTCTTCTTCCAAACCTGGTCTGCACTGGATTCGTGGTTCTTGGCCTTACCGTCGGCATCCTCTTCTTGGAAGAGACGCACGAGGACCGCAAATACGACCAGGATAGGGGACGCGAAGCGGGGCAATGGCTCCTGCGCAAAGTTTGGAAGCGAGAGGCAGAGGCAACATTCGACGACAAGGATGCTTCGCTTGACGAGATGCGATCGATGCTCAGCGACCATGACCACAACGTGCAGGCCTACCGAAGCACTGACAGCTCGCCTACCCTGTGCAGCACGCGAACTTCCATTTCAGAGGTACCTGAGTTCGAATTGGACAAGCAGCTTGCACCAGCGCCAACCTTCCGACAAGCATTCACCAAGCAAGTGATTCTGAATGTGGTGTGCTACGGCATTCTCGCTTTCCACACCATCTCTCTCGAGCAACTCCTCCCAATTCTCATGTCCAAGGATGTACCAGCCAAGGGTTCCCAGCACCTCCCATTCCGCTTCGAGGGTGGCTTCGGGTGGTCAACCCAAACCACTGGAGCATTCCTCGCTGCGCAAGGTTTCCTCCAGATGTTCGCTCAGGTCATCTTGTTCCCATGGGTCAGCAAGAAGCTCGGCAGCCTTCGCACTTTCTGGATTACTCTAGCCTGCTACCCGGTTCTCTACCTCCTTGCCCCTTACCTGGCTGTCCTTCCTGAAAGCCTGCGCATTCCCGGACTCGCAGCTCTGCTCATCGCCAAGGTTACCTTCCAGTCGCTCTCCTACCCATCCCTGGCCATCATCCTCGCAAACTCATCTCCATCCAAGAAGGTCCTCGGCACGCTGAACGGAGTTGCAATGTCTTCTGCTAGCATCTCCCGCGGCTTTGGTCCTACCGTATCAGGTGCCGTGGACAGCTTGGGCACCTCGCTCCACATGTCTGGCCTTGCATGGTGGACTATCGCCGCTGTTGCTCTTCTTGGCTGGCTGCCTGGATTTGCTCTCCAGGAGAGCAAGCGATCGGCCTTCACTGCACAAGAAGACGAAGAGGCTCTCATCGACTCCGACTCTGACGCAGAGTCTGTCATCACTCTCACCCCGGACGAAATCGAAATCGTCCTCTCAAAATAGATACACGCAATCACGACCAAAAACAGTAACGACGCATCTCGACTTGCAGGATTCGGCACAGACCACCTGCCTGGCGTCGACGCGCTGGCAGCGACCTTTCCTTTCACAACATAATTTCGGATTATAGAGACACTTTTTGCGGGATGAGATGAGTTCATCACCCGCCGGCGCATCATTATGGGTGCGATTTAGCGACATTGTTTACAGGGCGGCATTTTGGGACAAGACTTTGGTCATTATTTATTAGAAGGGAAAGCTCGATTGTATCGGAGACCAGCAATGGTCGTCCACGAGCCGGCGTTTGTTCAAGAACAGAATACCCCAGTAGTTATTAGTTTCCTTGCTACATTGTATGTTAGATTAGGGTGCCCGAGCACAAATTCATGACTTGGATGATTTCTCAAACACACGATCCCACAAAAGAAGTTTGTTTTGCCATGTGCGTTGTGAGGAGTGCATTAGCTGGTATTGAGTCAGAGCAAGACTGCAGCGGTGAGTTTGATGCTTGTCGGGACCCAGGATAGAGACCGCATTACCCGGATGCCGCAAAACAGGTGTAATGGTATGCATTGCCGATGTGGTCCCTTGTATGTTACGGATGCTTCCTTTTTGCTTCTACACGTGCTTGGATCGGTGTGCCTCATGCACGTGGTGGAGCAACGGGCATCGCGAGTCAGTGACGGGCCAAGACGTGGATTAGGACGCCTTGCATTCCGGCTTTTACCATGAAACGATACATCACGAGGTCATGTTCGGCATATGGATCACTGCGTGGTGACGAATGTCCCATGTACCGCTTGTGGTTGTTGGTATCGAAGGATGGCGACGGATGCTTGCCGAAGCCGAGGCAGTCTAGTCATGTTGCAGCTGGTATGTAATCAGCACGACAGCCGTTTGCGCAGGCGTTGTCGTGATTGCAGGGCCAAAACGCGAGAGCGAGGAAGAAGTGAGCAGGACATGCTGTTCATATTGACTGTGAATGCACCCCATACTACATACTTAGCAGAGTAAAAGTCCGCCCACATGGCGAGCATGACGTGCAGCAGCAGCACCCACACTCCGCCCACGCCTATCTTACGCTGTAGAGATAAGGCCCGTAGCCGACCTGCTAGCCATCCACGAGCGGGCGAGCAGCGACTTTCGGCTGCGTTGGGGATCATGGAAGACATGCTCCTCGTGCAATCGCATCCCACAGCCCTATCTACGTCGCCTGTTGCGGTTGCTGACGCCTTAATTCAGAGTGCGGGGGGAGTAAGAAGATTGTCGGCCACCCGTCCTGAGCTCTTCAGAGCTGCTTCGGAGAATAGACGCCTTACGTGCGCGAGCTTCACTAGCCCGAACCCTGCCCGACTTTCTTGCCATGCGCCCTGATGAGCGGCCTCAAGCGCTCTTTGGACGAGTCGTCTCATGACGGGGACAAAGCCTCGCCTTCGGACTCGTCCGTGTCGACCGCGAAGCCTACATCGCCCGCCGCGCCCTCGTCGTCGAGCTCCTTCCGCAACGTGAGCGCCTGCAACCGCTGCCGACTGCGCAAGAACCGATGCGACCAGCGCCTGCCCTCGTGCGCCTCCTGCGACAAGGCCGGCGTTAAGTGTGTGGGCTACGATCCCATCACCAAGCGTGAGATTCCGCGCAGGTATGAAGTTTGGAGGGGAGCTGTCGCGAGTCGCCTCGGCACAGGACTGACCAGTGCAACAGCTATGTCTTCTACTGCGAAACCCGAATCGCATACCTCGAAAACCTCCTGCGGGAGAATTCCATCCCCTTCCAGGACGCCGAAGACTTCAATCCAGCCTTTGTGTCCAATGGCGGCTCCGTCACACCACGACCCATATCCGCCGCACCGCCGCCTCGCAATGGCAACATCAACCCCACCGCCGCCCAGGCCAAGGAGGAGAGCGACAAGTACGATCGCGAGAAGCTTACCAAGCTCGTGTCAAACATTGGCATGGTCTCGGTGCAAGGCGCCAGTGACCCGAGATATCTGGGCTCAACATCTGGCATATCCTTTGCACGCGTAGTGTTTGCTGCCGTCAAGAGCTCTGTATCCGGCTCTTCTTCTGAGCGCGGGAGCAATCGGGGAGCCAAAGCGGCGACCAATGTCGTGGACAGCGGCACCTCGATGCGCGACTCCTTCTTTGGACTCCAGACCAAACCCACCATAAGGCAGGCGCCCTTCCCGGACCGGGAGCTTGGTTCGCGCCTTGTTGAGCTGTACTTTGAGCACGCAAACCCACAAATCCCAATCTTGCATCGGGGCGAGTTCATGGTAATGTTTGAGCGTGTGTACGCTTCGGGTGAACGGCATCGTACTTCACGAGAGTCATACATGCTCAACATTGTGTTTGCCATAGGCGCTGGCATCATCTTGGGCAGCTCCGACTCTGAGGGCTCGCCGACGTCGGATCATGGCCGCTCACCAACAAAGTCACGGTCATCACCACCCAGCAGCAAGAAGCGGCGACTTGCAGGCCACCAGCATCAGCCCGAGGAGTACCATGCGTCCGCAATCGTGCATCTGGAGAACTTCCTGGGTTCCTCACCCGCTGCGGACCGTCCCGACGGCTTCGGCGGCGGCCTTGAAGAACTACAAGCTGTGCTACTGCTCGCAGGGTTTGCTCTGCTGAGACCCGTCGCCCCTGGCTTGTGGTACATTGTCGGTGTTGCCGTCCGTCTTGGAGTGGACCTAGGGTTGCATTACGAGGACGGTGTGGGTATCGACGGGGCGGGTGCGGAAGACCAAACCGCCGGAACCACGTTCTTCAAGTCCGAAGGCAACGGGAATACGACAGCTGCCAGCGGTGGGAACCCTTCCAAAATAGACGCCAAGGAAAGAGGTCGCAGACAGTGGGTCAGGGACCTGCGGAGACGCCTGTGGTGGTGTGTCTACTCGCTGGACCGGCTAGTAAGCACGTGTGTTGGCAGACCTTTTGTAAGTACAGTCTCCATTCTCGTATGGTGCTACCGATCATGTTGGTGACGATCCCGCATGTATGCTACGGCAATTTTGCCAAGAGCTCAATCGTGATATAGAATACTCGGAAAGACTAACAGGCAAATAGGGTATCACAGACCAGATTGTGACTACCGAGTTTCCTTCGCTTCTCGATGATCGCTATATCACCAAAGAAGGATTCCTGGAACCGCCAGTGCACCAGGAAAAGCCCACGTACAAGATTGTAGCCCATCACTACTTCCGGCTGAGACTACTGCAGTCTGAAATTCTGCAAGTCCTACAGCACCGGCAGGCACAGCAGGCAAGAGCAAGCGGTGCAAACCGAAGCAATGAGTTTATGCACACAAAATTGCCTTCACCCTTCCTGATCAATTTTGAGTCTTTCCGCGCATGGCGCGTGGACATCGACAGGCGATTACTGGAATGGAAAGACTCGGCGCCAACACAGATGGACGCTGGTGTGCAGTTTTCACCGCTGTTCCTAGAGCTCAATTATTGGCAAGCATTGATCATGCTGTACCGGCAGAGTCTGGTCGTCCCCTCTGGTCTGCAAGAAGAACTGGGCAACACTGGCTCCGATATGGGAAGCCCCTCAATGAGTAATCTTGAGGAACGTGAAGACGAAGACCTGGTTTTCCTCAAGGTAGCCGAAGCTGGCCAGAAGGTTCTGAAGCTGTACCGACAACTGCATCGCGTGCACCTTGTCAACTACACCTTCCTCGCAACCCATCACCTTTTCATGGCTGGTAAGTTAAATCTTCACCGGAACTCAACAGCGCTAACATGCGCAGGCATCTCATTCCTCTATGCAGTGTGGCATAGCGTCCACGTACGCAGTTTATTGGTATGTATATTCGACCCTGTTGTATAACCGTGGCTTCACGTAACTGGTGTAATATGAAAATCTAACTAATGCAGTCCCTTGACGACGTCGACTTTACCGTCCTTGCCGCAACATCCGTACTGGGTGACCTCGTCGACAAGTGTCCGCCAGCAGAAGCATGCCGCGACGCATTCGATCGGATGAGTAAAGCCACCATTCAGATGTGCATGTCCACGACAGGCTTTGGACCTCAGGCTCTGCGGTCACTCCCGCAAGCACAGCAGTACCCAACACAGACTTCACCGACCACTGCATACAGATCTGCAGCCGATACCGATGCCAGGTCAGATACTGAAATGCAAGGTTATGGAGCAAGGAATACAGGCGGCTTCTTTAGCCACCAACAGCAGCAGCAGCAGCAACAGCGTCGACCAGTGCCACGCTTCGACATGAACCTCAAGGATCTTTTCTCAGATGACGAGACAGACAAACGGTCTTTCAGCCGCGTGAGCAACCAGGTCAACGCCATGCGGCCCCCTCCTGCACCAATGAAAACCGAACAACAAATGCAGCCCTTCACAGCCGACTTGAAAATTTCCCCACAACTCCGCAGTACCCACCAACAACAGAACAGCTTCTTCGCTGCAAGTCCAAATATGACTAGCCCGAACCAACAAAACGCCTTCTCCACCACACCACCTGCCAACCCACCCATGCCCTCACCATACCAGATTAGCAACCAGGTGCCTTACAACAGCTTTGCGCAGAATGTCACGTCCAGTTATCCCGATCTAGGTTTCTCAGACTTGGATTTCTTGGATAGCTTCCCCGTGCAGGGTGCAAGTAGCGGGACAGATGCAGGCAGCGGTGGAGTACAAGACATAGGGATTGGGTTCGGAATGGGCTTTGGTGATGGGACACATGATTGGAGTGATGTAAGTTGCTGTCTCAACATATGAGAGACAATATGCTAACGAAACTTTCTAGGGTAATGGATTGGACCTTTTCGACGGATTCTTCTTCGGACCTGGAGGTACTGGCGGTACGGGTATGTGAAAGCAGGTGTTATAGCTACCGGCACCGCTCTTGGTGTATGCTTGCGACGATTGATGAACATGGAGGAAAAGTACCGCCACCATGTGTACGATGTATCTGACTTGATGTAATCGAGTAAAAGGATACCAGGTAGCTGCCTTTGCCACTTTGCGGCGCAGCCGGAAGTGTGGGGGCAGCGTCGTGGGGTATGATAGGGCGCCCTACCTAAGCGGAAGGCGGCGGTCTCCGATGGATACCTAGTCTTTATCAAAAGACATCGACGGATCTCTGTATATTGTATGATAGACGTCTTGTGCTCGAAGAAGAGTATATTCTGTGAGCGATTCCAATGCAGTCGTTACCTGTGCTCAAATTCAAGGTTCTAGTCACAGGTTTGAGGGTGCGAGTCCGCGATTGTGTCCATACGATTACTTCTTCCTATACTCTCCATTGGAATCAATACTAATCGCACACTGATCTCAACGAAAAGCTTTAGCCATACCTTTCCCGAAGCATGAGAGAGTGATGTTTCCTTCCCCTCTTCTGCTCACGCCCAATTCAATATTCACCACAACGACACCGACAGACGATTCAATACACAATATGACTTCCACTCGATCCAGAACTACTATTCACGTAATCGTCGGCGAATATACTTACGATGCTGCTTGCAGCCTCACCTGACCGGAGATGCGCGGGTATCAAAGAAACTCTATCCATAGGGCTTTGTTCTCTCCAGGCTACCCTTGTCCTGCGCCCAAACCATAAGCCCTTCCAATCCATCCCCATCCCTTCCATTTGAACCCATGTCGCGCAGAATCGTTCGATCTCCTAGTTGACATAGTATTCCATCCATGTTGAGAATAAGTCAGCTCAGCTTGGGCCCGATATCATCAGGGCATGCGGTTGACTCACCCATTCACGTATAATCTTGGATCTGCACCTTCCATGGTGTAATCCACAACACTCCATCCGCTTCATACACGCTCATTACATCAAATTACTGCTGTCCATTCAAAACCACAATACCACACTTCACTAAGGCGAAACTATATTCATCAAACCTTGTCGAGAAGCTCTCGAATCCACCAAAACAGCAATGTGTCTCTACCTGGTCGTTCACTACGGACCAAATCCCTTGTCACTTAAGCGTATCTTCTCACGTCGGGCCCCTGATGCAGATGAACAACGTATGTCTGAATGGCGAGTAGAGCGCCTAAGTCTAGATCGCTTGCGGGAGCTTTGGCATTTGAGATGTAGGAGTCAGGAGGATTTAATCAAGGTGGAGAAAGACGATGATTTTGACATGGGATACTGATATAAATAGTCAAGTGCATACATTCACTCATTATCGGCATGGATTGCAGGGGACAAAGTGGAATGAACTTTTTGAATTCTTCCTCCAGCTGATGTGCAGAAGATTGTCTAAGCTAACCAGAGCATGTGGCTCGGCCTGCCCTCCATCCTCTGTCGAGGAGTGGGCGACCAGTAGTCGTGATCTTCATGGTATCGTTTTGAAGCTAACCGTTACTCCACCCATTGAACAAAAGCACAACAGCTTAGTTCATCTGCCTGACGAGCTGGTTGATGAACTCCTCGCGGTTACCAAGGTCACCACCCTCGATGAAGTGCTTGAACTTGCGGGTACGGAAACCGCCAGTGGGGGAAGAGAGCTTGAAGGGCCAGAGGAAGTTGGAGACGGCCTTGAAGTTGGGGCCGACGGTGTAGATCTCGTGGATGATGTCCTCAATGCAGGTGATACCGAACTTGCCGAGGTTGGCCTCGATGAGCTCGTTGTCGGTGATCGGCAGGCGCTGCTTGTTGACCTTTCCGTAACCGCGCTTGTAGACAAGCTCGCGGACGGTCTTCAAGTTGGGGTATCCGTAAGCGACGAAAGGCTCGACGATCTTCAGCATCTCGCTGGTGGCCTTGGTGAGGCGGACGAAGACACCGTTGTTGATCTGGAGAAGACGGAGGAGCTGGAGGGTCTTGCGCTTCTTGGGGTCGATCTTGTTGATACTACGCGAGTTAGAATGGATTTTGAACCGCCTTGAAAAATTTGACATACCCCTTGATACGGACAACAAAGGCAAGGCGGGACTCAGCGGGGACGAAGAGAGAGTTGTCGCGCTTCGCGGCACGCTTGGCCTCGATGACATCGCGCTGGGCCTTTGCGTACTCCTGGGTGTACTTGGCGGCGCGCTCCTTGATGACCTCGCGCTTCTGCTTGCTGGCCTAAGAAATCTTAGCCAACTGTGATACTCCTATCTGCTTGCGCAGGTTCTGGGAGACTGTTATACCTCACGCTTCTTCTTCAACTCAGCGGCCTGAGAGTCGCTGGTCTTCTGGTGGGCCTTCTGCTTCTTGAGCACCGACTCGGGGACAGCGATGTCATTCTGGGTGGGGACGCTGGATGAATTAGCACGACTGCAATGAATTGACACAGCGGTATACTCACGATGAGCGGGCCATTTTGCTGGTGGTTAGTATCCTTGTTGTTGTCGGAAGCTGGAGGAACAAAGTTCGGCTGGCCAGCACGAAATTCATGTGCGGGCGCTAGTGCGCCGCCAAGACAGAACGCAGCGCTAATGCCCCGCTCTATTGGCCCGCTCGTCGAAGCTATCGACATTTTCCTGAGAGCTACCAACTTGCGACAGCTGCTGCAGGTTTACAAATTTCAAGTTTTACATATACCTACTCGCAGCAATGGGACGAGGTGGAGGTCGCGTGAGTAGACACTGCATGCGCCACACATGTACAACGCCCACTGACTTTGCATAGGGCGGTGGTCGCAAAGCATTTCGCGGCAAGGGTAAAGGTCGCGGCGGTGGCGGTGGTGGTGGAGGACGCGATACTCGCTCAGAGCCATGGTCCACCATCGAGCGCAAGAATGAGCTCTTCGAGAGCTACTACAAAATGGGAGGCTTCTTGGAAGAAGCAGAGTTCGAGGAGATGTGGAAGGCGCTCCAAACCGACCTGCCCAATAGTTTCCGCTTTACTGGCACCAAGTCCGATGCTCTCGCAGTGCGCGAAATCTTTAAGCAGCGCTATGTCCCCGCCATCGCATCCACGCGCTTCGAAGGCAAGCCAGTGTCGCCTCCCGAGGCTGTGGAGGCCTTCCCTGACGAGCTCGTGTGGCACATGAAGACGCACAAGAAGGTCATTCGACGACATGCGCCCTTTGCCGATTTCCAGAAATTCCTCGTCGCCGAAGCGGCATCAGGAAACATCAGCAGACAGGAAGTTGTCAGCATGATCCCGCCACATTTCCTCGATGTGAAGCCAGGAATGGTGGTCCTCGATATGTGCGCAGCACCGGGAAGCAAGTCGGCGCAGTTGGCTGAGATGATCCACGGCGACGAAGAGGAGCGCGTACAGCGGGTAGCGAACGGCGAGTCCGTTGACCTTACCCAAGACGGTGACTACAGCGACGGCGGACGTTCAACAGGTCTCCTCATTGCGAACGACTCTGACTACAAGCGTGCCGGCATGTTGGTCCACCAAGTCAAACGTCTCAACTTCCCCAACCTCATTGTCACGCAACACGACGCCTCAATTTTCCCTTCGATCGAACTACCCAGCGACGGCAACAAGAAGCAGTACCTGAAGTACGACAGGATATTGGCTGATGTGCCCTGCTCTGGTGACGGCACAGCCCGTAAGAACCCGAACGTATGGCAGAAGTGGAGCCCCAGGGATGGTCTTGGCCTACATGGTCTCCAGCTACGCATCCTGTTCCGAGGTCTCCAGATGCTGAAGAAGGGTGGCCGTATGGTTTACTCTACTTGCAGTCTGAACCCTGTCGAGAACGAAGCTGTCGTTGCAGCAGCTATTGAGGCTTGCGGAGGAAACTCCAAGGTCCGACTAGTAGACTGCTCAGATCATCTGCCAAACCTAAAGCGAAAGCCGGGCCTCAACTCGTGGAAGGTGCTCGACACATCCTCAGTAACCGCTGCAGGAGAGAAGACTGCTCATATGTTCACCAACTGGGAGGCATACCAGAAGGCAAGGGCCAAGTACGAGACCGAGGAGCCAGAACGCCAGTTCTCCACCAAGGTCACTCCCGGATGTTTCCCGCCTGTGCCAACGTCTGAAGAGGAGCGCATCCCTCTCGAACACTGCATCCGTGTCTACCCACATTTGCAAGACACTGGCGGTTTCTTCATTGCCATTCTTGAGAAGCTGGACGACATCAAGATTGCGCAAGTACAGAACCCAGAGAACGCAGCCAAGGCCCAAAGGTCACACGACATTGCTGAGACGACTACCGACTCCTCGATCCCAACCCCTGATGGCAATGTGGTCGAGGCAGATGCTACTAAAGGAGAGTCTGCGGATGCCTCTGATGCGGCTCCGTTGAAGCGTAAGCTGGAGGAGTCTGAAGACGCTGAAGCGCCCAAGAAGGCCAAGACCGAGGAAGCAGCAGCAACACCAGACGCCAAACCCGCAACCAACGGCTTGGCTGCCCGTTTGAAGCCAGAGAACCAGTCCCAAGCCAAGGAGTACTTTGAGTACCTTCCCTCTGATGACCCAACTATCGCCAACATCATGGACTTCTTCGGCATCGACGATCGCTTCCCACGCGACCGCTTCATGGTCAAGAACAAGGAAGGTCTTTCCCTCAACAAGATTTACTACACCTCCGACCTCGCAAAGACCATTCTTTCGCTGAACAAGGACCGTGGCATGAAGTTCATTCATTGCGGTGTTGTGATGTTCGTTTCGCACAAGATCAAGGACCAGGATCGTACTCAAGCGCCATGGAGGCTGCAGAATGAGGGTATCCGTATCCTTGAGCCATGGGCTAAGAAGCGGATAGTCAAGCTGGAGAAGAAGGAGACGTTGCACCAACTCATCCGAGAGATGTTCCCCAAGCTGCCAAAGGAGGGCGACACCGGTCTGGGTGAGGTCGGCGAGCAGCTCCAGCCAATGGACGTCGGTTGCTGCTTTATCCGTGTTGAGAAGGATGAAGAGCAGGGCATCCCATTCCGCATGGTACTGCCACTCTGGAGACATCCCGGCAGCGCCAACCTCATGGTCGACAAGGACGACCGCAAGGCCATGCTGCTTAGATTGTTCAATGAGAAGGATACCGAGATCATCAACCACGTTGCGGACAAGGCCAAGGCGGAGCAGAAGGCCCTCGAAGCTGAGGAAGCGGCTGAAGACGGTGTCAGTGATGGCGAGCAAGCCACTGAGGCCATGGTGGCTGAAGAGGAAGAGGGAGTTGCGAAAGTCGATGAGGAGGACGTGAAAATGGAAGAGGGTGCCTAGGCGTCATCATCCCTCAAAAGTCACTGGGACACTTTCGGCTTTTGCCCATGATCTATGGTCTGCATCTGGGTTGGCGTTTTGTTATTTTTATTTATCATCTGGAGCATAGCTGCTTAGTCTATCACGCATACCTACGTGTGAATGTCATGATGCAATAGTTCAACACCTTGTTATCTCGCTGGTCTCATGATGCACATCTCTCGAATCACTACCTCCAATAGTTTTCATTACAAGGGTATATCAATACAACCGTAGAGGCGCCCAGCGACAAAATATTGTGTCCCATAAATCATACCTAGAGAAATAAGAAGATAACCCGACAACACCGTTCATCCAAGACGATACCGACTCCGAAGAAAGCCTGCCTAAGACTTCTCCTTGTCAGCCTTTGTCATAACACTTTTCCCGCTCTTGGTGCTCTTCCCACTCTTCGTACTCTTCAAACTCTTCTTACTGGCACTGCGCTTCAATTTCGCCTTGAGCTTACTCCACTTCTCGCGCAGACCACCATCTTCATCGTCGTCGTGGTCTTTGGGTCTCTCGACGCTATCCATACTGCCACGCGGATACTCGAGCTCACTGCCCACATCGATGCTATCGTTGTTCCTAGCATGTTGCTTTCTAGGTGTTTGTTTAAGTGGGGAGTGAATACCGGCGGCAATATCTCTGTTACGACCGAGTAGCATGAATTCGAGGGTTTGCCAGGCGGGCATGTTGGCGATAGGACCGTCTTTTGAGTTTGCTTGGACATCTGGGTTCTTCCAGGGGCAGTGTTCGCGGTGGGATTCGAGAAGGTTGAGGCGCAGACTTTCAATGGGCACGTCTAGTTTCTTGCTCATTTCCTTGAGGCGCGTGGCGGAGGAGAGCCAGAGACCCAGGCGCTGGAAGCAGTGGTTGCATACAGCGAGGGATATGCGGGATTCTGAGACGCCGGTCCAGCCAAAGAGGGCAAAGACAAATGCCACGATGTCGCTGGGCGACAGAGGTGGTTCGGTGCCTGCTGAAGTGAAGAAGGATGATGGTATGCGTTCAAGGATGTGGTGTATGGATGGTTCGGGGTATGTGATGTGTTCGAGGAGGGGAAGGTCGGCGGATATGGCTTTGAGAAAGCGGTACCGATCCAGCAATTCAGCTGAGCTCTTCGTCCGCGATGCGATAGGGATATGATAGATGTCTTCTGTTCATGTTGTTAGTTGTGTGACTACTACACGCGCATACTTTATCGTACCTTGACAGCCGCGCTTCCTCCACAAGCAGTCATCCGCATGTCCTTCGGTGATGAGGTCCTTGTATCTGTCTACCAAAGCCTCGTCGATATCAAAGGCCAGGTCCTCGCTCATCTCGAGCTCCTTGCCGTTAGCATCTTTACGCTTTGGCCTCAACTTGACCGCAACACGATTTTCACATCCACCTTTGCAAGCCACTGTATTCCAGATATCGCAGCTCCAGCCCCGCTTTGCCCATTCAACCTCGTTGATGGCATCCGGCTTGGTAGTCCACTTCCGCACATCTGCAAACGTCTTCAGTCTCTCGAGGAAGTGGTCTTGGCTATATGGCTGGAAGTTTGGTGCTTTGCGCGGCGTAGAGGCTTTCGGGGTTGAGGTTTTTGGCGTTACCAAGGTCTTGCCCACAACTTTGATGGTGCCTTCTCTTCGTGGGGTCATGAGCTGTTCCTTGAGCTGTCGGATGCGCTCTTGACCTTCGGATATACCCCTCTGACGCTCCATGCTCAGGTTTGCGCTGCGCGGGCGCTTGCTCGGGTGTTCAGGGCTGCCTGTCTCGGAAAGCGCCGAGAGCGAAGCGGTAGAAGCATTCGACTCTTGCAGAGTGCTCGCGAGGGAAGTAGTCGAGTTGCTTGCCGTGAGGTTGTCGAGGAGCTTATGGAACTTGCGCTTTGTGGTCGCAAGCGCGGGCTGCTCTGCCGAAGCCATTCTGTCGGAGTGAGGATAGTGCGCTGTGATGCGGATCTATGGGCGGAATAATCCGAGTTTGATTCTGAGATGCGCGCGTCGGTGAGGATGTCTTTGTGTCGATCTTTGTTTACTGTCGCGTAAGTCGGATGCACAGCTCGGTTATCCGCTCAGCTTCGGATGCATGCGTCGAAAACGATACGACAAGACTTCTGCTTCGTAAGACAAGACAGCGGTCTCGAATGTCTGTGCATCAAGACGAGTCGAAAGCCGTTGGTGTTGTTGCTATGGCGTCCAGGCCAGGACGAAAGCAGTAACCTCCGCCCGCAGCGCACAGGCCAGCCCTTGATGGATGATGGGTTGCGTCAATCCACCCGGCTGCAGAACCCCACCAAAGAAACGAGGGGCTGAAGATTGTTAGTGTTAGCCCATGCCCGCCCAAATTGCGCCATCAAGATTCTTCTTGCTAGCATTCGTCATCCTGGCTATCTCCATCTTCAACCCATCGTTGCTTTCTCGTAGTGTTGCTCGTCTCTCTCAACTGAAACACCACATCTACCCGTCGACCGCACTTCATCCATCACAACACTTGTATACGAATTCGAATCGAAGCATACACACAATGGCCTACGAGAAGGAATTGGAGATCGCTCTCCTGGCTGTTCAGCGAGCGTCCATCCTTACAAAATCGGTTTACTCGAGCCACTCCAAAGGCACGCTATCCAAGAGCGACTCCTCCCCTGTCACAATCGGCGACTTCGGCGCGCAAGCCCTGATCATCGCATCGATAAAGCATGCTTTCCCTGAGGACGAAGTTGTTGGCGAGGAGGATGCCAACGACCTGCGCAAGAACGACTCGCTCCGTGATCTTGTCTGGGATCTGGTACAAGCAGCGAAGCTAAAGGACAGCTCTGCCGAAGAGAAGATTGGTGGACCCATCAAGAGCGCAGATGCTATGCTGTCAGCGCTTGATCAGGGAAACAGCGAGGGCGGCAGGAAGGGCAGGATCTGGGCACTTGACCCCATCGACGGCACAAAGGGATTCCTGCGTGGTGGACAATACGCTGTCTGCTTGGGTCTACTCGTAGACGGTGTACCTACCGTAGGTGTCATCGGCTGCCCCAACCTCCCAGTCGACGACCAGGCTCCCCTCACCACCACTACCGGACAAGACGCAGATGACAAGGAGGGCAAGGGCGTGCTGTTCGGTGCCGTGAAGGGACAGGGTGCTACAAGCCGACCGCTGAGCAAGGGTGCTCTCACAGAAGCAAAGGCCATCAAGATGAAGCCCCTCTCAGATGTCACCCAAGCCACATTCTGCGAATCTGTAGAAGCCGGCCACTCATCACAAGGCGACAACGCTGCCATCGCATCAAAGCTCGGCATCACCAAGCCTTCAGTTCGCATGGACTCGCAAGCCAAGTACTGCTCCATTGCCCGTGGAGCCGGTGACTTGTACCTCAGACTGCCAGTCAGCAAGACATACCAAGAGAAGATCTGGGATCACGCTGCCGGTGTGGTCCTCGTTCAGGAGGCAGGTGGTGAGGTCAGCGATGCGTACGGCAAGCCTCTTGACTTTGGCCTTGGAAGGACACTCAGGGAGAACAAGGGTGTGGTAGCTGCGCCAAAGGATGCGTTTGCAGAGGTTATCAAGGTTGTCAAGGAGGTTTTGAGCGCTAAGGAATAGATAATGTGATAGTCTAAGCAATGATACACATGTCTTTACACCAGATCATGCAGCTATCTCATGCAAGGAAATGAGACAAGCATTCTTCAGAGCAGTCAACAGAGGGCTGACTGAAGGAGAAAGATTGGCTATAATACAGACAAGTTCAAACGATTGAATTGAATCAAGACCAAATTCTAGAATGAACAGCAAGGATGAACGCCAAAATGCGGAACGCAAAAGAATACAGGTTTCCCATGTTCGCCTACTCCTACTCCAATATTCCCGTATGCCCACCAAGCCGTAGCTGTTTCCCATTTCACCGTATTTTCCTTGGGTATCACCTGCTTTAGATCCCGCCTCCTTAGAGACTGTAGATCCCTAACCTTACTCCTTAAAGTCAATTTAATGTTTCTTTGTAGGACTTGCATCCAAAGAGATTTTTATGCTATCTTGTTGAAATGAGCAGTATTTGCGTCGCGTCTGCGTGGTCTAGTCTCATGCCGTGATGGTGGTTGTGGGTGTAAGAATACCTCCAACCAGAGTATCATCACCGGACTCGTCTACAAAGGTGCTTTCAGCGCCCGCGTCAAGGTCGTCGGTATCTATGTCCGCCTCGGCACCGGTGTCGTTGACCTCGTCAGACTCTTCTCCGTTGTCATCGTGTATGTGTTCAGGCTCGACTTCTACCGGCACATGTAGTATGTGAGCACTCATGCCGGGCACAGGAGTTAGGTGCATCTGAGCTAGGCCCTGCTGAAGTGCTTCGACATCCTCATTGACGTCTTCAGTCATCTCGACGTTGTTTTCTTCATCGTCGGAATGGTCATAAGCGGCATGGTAGGGCGAAGGTCCAGATGCACTAATCGTCGTCAAGTTCGCAGGCTCTTCCATGACACCAAATTCTGTTGTTACAGTAATAGAGTCTGGGCTCGGAATGGGCAAGTCGTGCGTGAACGATGCGGAGGAGCCGTCTATGGTCGGGTTGCCGGTGCTCTCATCGTATACTGTTGTGAAAAACTCGAACATTGCTCCAGCCAACTCATCTGCCATTCCGCGCTCTTCCTTGTCTTTCCTCTGCTTGGCTATCGCACGGAGCTGTTCCTCTTTCTTCTGTTTAATCTCTGCCTCAAGCCGACATTTCGCGCGAACATTGGGTTTGTGTGTGCACGTCGGACAGTGATAGTTGACAGTGCAGAACGTGCATGTGCAAGCTGGGTTCGAGGACGCGCATTGCTGAAAGGTGTGTTAGTGAACAGATGAGAAGAGATGTTGGGAATAGACTTACATCACAGACAAGAACTGCACACTCCGAGCATTCCTTCAGAATTCCCGGACACTGTGGTCGGTTGTCTCCTGCAGGCCTTGGGTACTGACAGAAATACGCACCACAACCACTCCACTGCACAGGATGCCGTGGATTGCAGGGCAATGGAAGTGGGTTCATGATTGCATGGTTAACCGGGACACGTTGAGAATTCGGCGACCAAGCATTAGTGGGTCGGCCGCGAACGCCAGATACACTGAAAGAGCGTGGACGTCCGGTGCTGATAGGAACAAAAGAGAGCGAGGTTGCAAGCTGGAAAGGTTCGGGGTTTGAGATGGAATTGAAGGACGTTGTGGCCGACATATCGACTGACGAGTGTTGAGGAGCAACCATGATCTGTGACTGAGACATGGGTGTTTCGGAAGATTCAGATTCATTGTCACCAGTGGAGTAGAAATCTAGATGGGATGACGATGCTGTAGGTGTGCGTTCGGGATCCGGTGTGCTGGCCCTGTTTGGATTGAACTCTGGTATAACAAGACGCTGTGGCGGCTCGTTATGCGATCGTACGTGCTCTCGCTCGGTATGCAAATCCCGATAGCCACACTTGCGGACCTTTAGCGCTCTGAAATCATGCTCTTTGCAAATGGGGTTCTTGCATGCCCGGCATGACACTTTCCAGCGGAAGCTTCGGTAACAGTCGTTGCATAGACCTCTCGGACATGTTTGCTGTTGCAAATCAAGCGAGTCCTGCTTCAAGTACGACAGGATATCAACATCCTCCCCAAGCACGTACTCATACAGGCCGTTGTTCTTCAACTCGCGGACGTAGTCAACAGGCCGAAGCGTGTTGCTGAAGTCCGGATCTTCAAACTCCTTCGTCCGCGGTAATGGTGCTGCGCGTATCTTATCAGCGCCTCTGCCGCCTAATCCGGTGCCTAGCACAGCAATGCCGCCACCACCAGAAAAGATAGGCTCCAGGCAACACCAATGCATGTTTAGTTTTGGTGGCTCTCGATTCGCTGGAGGTACTGGCATTCCGTTGTTCCCGCCGTCTTCGGAATCAGATGAGTCGTCGTCCTGTGCGCTCTCATTCATGAGATTTGGTGATCGGGTGGCACCAGGGGCCCACCAGAAGCGATTCTGGTCAGCCTTCTCTTCTTGACTCCTGTCCTCCAATGGTGCAGAAGACCCCGATGCGTGTCCAAGTGTGCCGCCCAATGTGCTGCTGTTGCCGAAAGCCAGGTTTGCAAAATGCCGTGTCTTCACGCGTTTTCTCGGTATCGGTCTGTTGAAAGCGCAACTTGCACAAAGCGTCTTCCGGCAACCCATGCAGTGCATGCGGACACTGCACGACTCGCATCGCTCCAGAATAGTGTCATTACATTGCGCACATTTGACCTCTTCAACAAACGCAGTGTGGCTCCTTCGCTCGTGTACTGGAACATGCTTGCCTTCTCCTGCGGAGTTCCCACCCTCTGGGCCGAGCGGCTCGCCGTCCTCGCCTGTTTCAGCAATCTCCCATAGTCTGCCATCGTGTTCGCCCAACTTTGTCGTGCCTTCCACAGGACCGATGCGATTGCTTGATCGCCATAATCTATCAAAGGGTACCCAGACTTCCATGTTCTGCGGTCCTGCTCTTCCTGCGTGGTAGTCCTTCCTCCGGTTGCACCTGCCGCCTGGTGTCGGACACCATGCTGTATCTGTCCAAATTCCTAATTGGTGGCAGATCTCGATGAGCTGGTGTGTGGGGTCGGAATCGGAGTCTCTCCGAATAAGGGAGGAGGGGAGATAGGGCCGTCGGCGGTGGTGACGACAACGGTAGGTGTATAGGCTCTTCAGAGCGAGGTCCCTCTGCATCCATGGCGCGTCCTTTAATGTGTATGGCTCCAGGAAGGGGACAATGTGATACTTGATGGAGACATTCTTGCAGCCTCGTACGGACAGATGCTGGAGGGTGTCGATCCGCGGGGCAAGGACGCTCCCGACCAGCGCAATTCCTGTCACGGCCGTGTTGCAGAGGTCCAGGCTGGTCAATCGTGTGCCATTTGGCGATATGATCTGCTTCAGCAGTGCGTCGAACGAGTAGGCCTTGGACTGGCGTTCCCTGTTCTCGGGCGTCTCATTGCCTGGCGAGCCCACTGCAACGGCGGGCTGAGGCAATCGAAAGGACAGCGTCTTCCACGCGAGCGGATACCTTTGCAGGAACTGGCGCAAATGACGTGATGTGTGGTAGAGTTCGAGGAGGGTGACGGTGGAGATCTGGGCGAGGAAGGATTCAAGGACAGGCGGGTAGGAGGTGATGATTGATTCGAACAGACTGAGGGCGGCTCCCGAATTTACGGCGTCGTTCCGCGTTGTCGTCTCGGTGTGCGTCGTCGGCGGGTTGGGGGCATCGCGGGTGGTGCAGGCCCAGAAGTCGCCCTGGCTGCCGTGGTGTTGCGTGCTCATGCTTCGCGGATTGCTGGCGAGAGTGAAGGTGTCTGCACAATCACGGCCGGGGAGGAGAGAGGAGCGACATGCACGGGTGGAGCGCGTTGAGTCGTGTCGCGCAAGCGAAGGTGGTCGTGTGAGATGGCTTGGCCAGCCGTCAGTCGCAAGTCAGGGTTCTTGGGCTTGGGCCAAGGATGAAGGCGATCCGTTGGCCGTCTCCGGGCGATCTTTCTGGCCTCACCGATAGCCAGGCGCGACTAGAACTCCCACTTCACTCTGATATTCGGCTTACGCTGCCGATACTCTCATCACAGACGCGAAACTTGACATGCCAAGCTGAGACTTTGATAGATACGCATTCGGCCCTCCTCATGCTGGTACCGGCGCCAATCAGCCTATCAGCCAGCGGCACATTGCAGTCCCTCCCTCAGCCTTGCCGCCGCAACCCTCTGCCAACTCAACACGGTGCATCACCTGGCGACACTAGTGCGCTTTGCTTTTGCTTGTTGGTAGACTTGATCTTTCAATTCGATTCGCCTGTGCGCGATACTAATCACACCATCCGCGCTTGTTGTGCGACTGCTACTGAAACGCCTTTACCCCGCTGTCCAGCCTGTGCCCATTCGCCACCCCTAGGGATATCATTGTTGAAGGAAACAAACGCAGAAACCGACAATATTACATAGGATACGCTAAAGGTGAATCAACCAGTGCGCCGGAGACAACTTTAAACAAAATCATTGGCCCATTTAACCGTGCATCCAATGTTCTCCAACAAAAAGAAAGGGTCGCAGGGACCTTGTGCGCTACTGAATGCACACGCAGGGCGGTATCCGGAGCCCTGGGATGAGAGTGGTTTATATCCGGATTAAACAATACCTCAAGCGAAATGAACACCATCCTAGAACACCCAGTTGCCCTGGGTATCGCGGTCTTCAAGACCGTCAAATAGGACAATATCCCATTGATCTGACTCGTCGTCAGCCGGCGGCCACAAAGAGTTGTCGATGAACGAAAACACTGGAAGATGTTGCCCCGTAGCAGTGGCGTTCAACAGCTTGCCTGCATCAGAGTCGATGTCGAATACTGGCCGTATGGGCAGCTTCATAAACTCCAACTCCACTGTTCCGAAGAACGGTATTGTATGGCGTACTTTGCCAACGGGCTGTTTGCTCGGGTCTAGGGACGAGAGGATCTTCTTAAGCACCACAGCACTGCGCGCCGCGATCCTTTCGCGTGGGCTTGCGCTGGCCAGCTTTTCCATCTCGCCGATAAGACGGCAGATCATAGCAAAATCTGTTCCTTTGGTCTTCTTCACCTCGCTCTTCTCCTTTGTGCCCAGCTCGATGACGATGTCGAGTGTGAGAGTGACGGCGGCAATGAACACTCCGATCTCGGCGAAACGACAGCAGGCTTGTGTGATATTTGAGTTGCGAAGGGCAAACCATCTCATCAAGACGTTTCGGCAGGCCTGTAACGCGGTGACCTTGGAGTAATCATATCGGTTGTCCAGATGTGCTCTGAGTAGATAAGGCAAATGGATGAATATCTTCATCTCAAAGTGCCAGACTTGCACCATCAGTCGTTCCAAAGTAGCAAATGACTCTGGTGATCTTGCCGTAGACGGGATGTTTGGCACCTCCCAAAAGTCCTTGGGCATCTCCTTCATGCATAACTCCAGCTGTTCGTCCAGTGCCAGCGCCGCTGAGTATGCTTGGGGTGAGACATCGCGATCAAGCTCTGCCACTTGTCTCGTCATGTAATTGAGTTTCGAACGATGGATTAGATGTGCATCGGCATCTGTCGCAATTGGATAGTCATCCGCGCCGAACGGCAGGCGGAGATGTAGTCCCAGATACCGATCAAGGTCGACGAAGGAGCGCCAGATCGATTTTGCATTCGTGACCGCCGGGATTGCCGGGTTAAGATCCTCTTGCGCGATAATGCGTTGGAACCCCATCAGGTGGGCCAGGCTAAGACCGCGGCGCACAACGAGCCATGACTGCCGCAGTGAAGCACTGTTCATGTGAAAAAGAGCCAAGAGCAACAGCGTCTCGAGTCCATGCAGAGTCATCATCTGTTCATCTGAGGAAGTTACAAGTGATGTTACCGTTGAAACATAGTTTTGCATCGTTGCGTCTAAATTCCACATGCTCGAGAGTCGCGAACAGTCGAACTCTGGTGGGAGAGAGTTGATACAAATCGCCAAATGTAAAAGCGTGCGCGCCACGATAATGGTTCGCTCTTGTGCAACGGCTTGCATGTCCAGAGCATACGACTGCAAGTCCTTGTGGACATAGATTTCCTTGGAAGCCCGGTAGATGCCTTCTAGGATCATCCACCCATTAGACGATTCGAAGATGATGTCTGCATCATGTTGTGAGGGTAGTAGGGCTGCCAGTGTTCGATGGTTTCTGTCATAGCCTGCAGGCTGCCCTTTGGTCCCCGGTTTGTCGACCAAGGTACGGATAGAAGGCGCTGACGTCCATGTATATGCTCCGAGCTGGCAACATTAGTGCAAGCGATATGCGGGAACAATGCTGCTTACAATACCGTCGCCCAGTGAGGAGATGCTGTACGCGTCACTTCGGTATCCGGACATATCCGGTTTGCTTTCTTTCTCACTAGAGCCCGAGGCAGTGAGGGTAGGACTGCGCGGCGCAGTATTGACTGCGGCTGTGGTGGCATTTTTACGACACACGAATCTCTCAAATAACTGCTCGAGTTTGCACAGCCTTTCTTGGATGTGTTTCGAGCATGGGTTTACTTCGTCTACCCGATCCGGTCCTGGGTTGTCCATACTTGTGCGAGGGCTGATTGTCGCTGGGCTAACATCGACTTGAACCTTGGGTTTTTTGCCTGTAGTATGTTTAGCATTTATAATTGAGCGTACATGAATGGGTTGTGATCTCACATTCCCAGCATGCCCGGCGAAGACTCTTGGAGGGTCTCTTCTTGGAAGTGTTACTCGCGTTGCTTAATGAATCCATGTTACTCTTAACGACACCAAATAATAGACGCGATGTAGTTGACGGAGACCCGAATTCCTGTCACGGAACCATACCAAATAAGGGCGGCCATGTTACTTTCATAGTGGGGTGAAGGTGTTGCGATGGCAATTGCTGATGTGGAGCTGACTCCTCGGGGCGGCGGCCGGGATTCGTCCGTAACGGAGGCCGAGCATTACTCTAGTTTACTAAGTCATATAGTTCCGGGAATGTGCAACGGCTTCTTCGGCTCGTACAAAAGCATGGCCACCTCAGTAAGCGCGGTTTTTCTTAATGTCTAGAAATCCCTCGTTGTTGAGAGTCTCGAGGTGTTCTGATCTCCTTTCGTTGTTCTGAAGGCTCGTCCGGCGATGGAGTTAGGGAATTGGAATTACTGAGACACCACCGGCAGGAAAGATGCCCCGGCGGAGGTAATCCACAGGGCGACCAGTGCTTATGCGGCCAATCTCCGCGGTGTAGGAGGTCACATAAACAAAGCCACCCGCGATGTTGACAAACCTCTCGGACACGGATACTTTGTCACCAACATGTCCTTCAAGATCGTAATTTCTGGTGTCACTGGTCGCATCGGTGCGCATGTATTGCATCACGCGCTACGAAATCCACTCGTATCGACGGTTATCGCATTGTCACGACGGCCCCCACCCGGGATCGAGACGCACGCTAAGCTCGAGGTAGTGCTGCTTGAGGACTTTACAAAATACCCCGATGATGTGCTTGCGAAGCTGTCCGGAGCAGACGGGTGCATCTGGTACCCAGCCACTCGCGTCTTTTCGCGCCATAGTTACTAATGTTGTCAAGGTGTATGACAACGACTGCTGGTAATCCTGTGTTAGAATTAGAGTATCCCAAGGCGTTCGCTGAGGCGTTTGCATCGACAATGCCAGTCGGCGCAAAGCCCTTTCGGTATTTACACTTGTCAGGTGGCATGGTTGAACGCGATCAAGACAGGTCATTATGGATGAAAGGCTCCATGCGCAAGACCAAAGTAGGCGATTCTTTTCGTTCTATAGACCACGCGCGTATATTGCAGATAGAATGATCCGAAACAAGCTGCCAAAGTGCTGACTTTGCAAAGGGCCGGGGCGAAGTTCAGATGGTCGACTTTGCAAAGACCCACGAGAACTGGATCACGATCGTAGCTCGACCAGGCATGGTCGTACAGAGAGGTAGTATTATTGGTGAAGCTTCGATGATGGTTGCAGGCTCCTCTGGCTCTTTCATTCGATATGACGAGCTTGCGCTTGCACTCATCAATGCGGTCATGCATGGCAGTGAGGAGCTCTTACTCCCTGCGGCGCTCGTGCAGCAAGGCCAGCAGTTGGTGCAGGGGGGTCGGTAAAGAACCCACTCGGTCAAGGACCCATTTGGTCAAGATGGAGGGCAGGCATGGTGGGGAAGATATGTCAGATTCCATTCGATCCACGAGCTGGCGGCGAAGGCGTGGCGCCAAACCATTGCCCAGTGCTGAGCCTCTAGATATGTTTCGCAATAAGTCTCAATATCCGGTACGATCCGTTTATGCGCCTGATCGATGATGGTCCATCCATGCTCATCCGCTAGATGTTGGTATACCCTAATTCCGATGCTTTGTGATGGCGCCAAAGCGGAACATTCTCAGGCGTACATATCATCATAGTCTTCTTCTTCATCGTCCACAGGCGGCGGTGGCGGTTGCTTCTTCTTCAAAAGTTCTTTGCGATCCAGAGGGCATGTTGAGTTCAGCTTAAGCCAAGGACCTATGCAGTCCAGATCGAAGCGATGATCCTCGTGGCACGGCAGCTGGACAACGAGGGGATATTTGTCTATGCATGTACCAATTAGCCGAGCTCCTCGTTCGCTTCACTGAGGCACGCGACTTACCTTCAAGGAATGGGTTCACACAGATGGGACATGTATCGGAAGGCTTCAGCGCTTTCTTCGGTACCCGCTCCAGTTCATCCAAGAAGCTGTTGGGCACACCCTTCAACTCTGTGGGCGGATCGTCGGCATTGGCGCGGAGTACCTCAATCATGTTTGCCAACAGATCCCCATGTTCGTTGCTCTCGTCCGCTGGTCGTCCGCGCATAGTCTCAAAAGCGTTGGCAAGCAAGCGGAATGCCGCCGTCATGTTTTCGGGCTGCGGTAGAGCATTGGCATTTGTGTGAGCGTGGGGATCCGACGTGTCAACCAGTTCAAGCTGAGAAAAGAACGTCGACAGGTCTGGTCGACGTGAGGGTTGTCGCGACTTGTCGTCCTCTGTGGAGATGTTGTGTTCGACTGTCTGCGTCAGTCTTTGCACGGCGCCTGTGTTTACCCGCAATTACCTTCGTAGCCAGACATGGTGGCGATTTGTCAGTGTTAGGTTGGGATTTGCGTGTCGGCCGCTGTCGTTGCCAGCTGAATTTATGAAGCTACGCGGAGTAAACGCGTCACAGCAGCCTACAGCCCAACGACACGGAGAGGGCGACTGACCCCTCAGTTGTGGCGCAGGTGGCGTTGGGCCGCATTCGCCTTAGCCCTCACTAGCCACACCTCCACCCGACGGCCATCTGAACCCAGAACCAAACACCTCGCCTTGGTATTGTCATGCCATAGTCTTTTCCCTGGATGGGCCGCTGCCCTGTTCTCGTTGCATCGACGTGTGGCGCAGTACTATCCGCCACCCCCTCGCACCCTCGCAGACCTCGAAGAAAACTTGGCACCAGGAAAGCTTATCCATGCTGTAGGGATTTTCTGTGCACCTACGCGTTCACTCATAGTAGATGGGAAGGTCAAGCGGCCGGTGTCAGTCGCCGAAAGCAACTGCGCAAGATTGCCATGTCAGTGTGCGCCTCCCCTGTCGAGTGACGCTACCTGGGAACAGCCCTGGAGACAGGTCGTCGCTCGAGTAACACTTGACTCTGTGCGTATCTTTTTTATATCCGGGGAAACAAGCAAGTCAAGGCCAGGTACAAGTCTCGGCAAGACGCGACTCCATTGGAAACCACTGGCGCGCACTCGAAGCAGATAATTGGGGCGTTGTGGAGCCGGTGATCCAGATCATGCACAGCCTCCTAGTGCCCGCAAGTCGTCACGCACACATTTCACTGACATACCTCACAACACAACCAAAGGGGCGCAGCCGTAGCGGCAACACTGCTACAGGAGTCGGACACAAAAGGCGAGGCAGCCTCTGTGACACTTGAGGTCTGACGCTTCACACTGCCAGTAGGAGACTTACAGCGCACTCTACCACAGCTTTGACCGACGCCGACACTTATTACTTCTCTACAACACAATTCCCTCCATGTCGCTGCTCGTCATGTCCACAGATCCACCTTCCGCTTTAGATCGGTTATCGCCTTCCTGGATACGACGCCCAATGTCTCGACGATCGACGTCGCCCCAGAAAGAGTCACGGCCAACAACAGCAAACGGCCTACTTTCACCAGAGCCAGCACAAGCATCTAACAACAGCGATGGCTCACGATCACCGCGCTCAAGTTCATCTGGTCGACGTGGTTCCGTTATGGAGTTGGTCAACAGGTTGCGCTCATCATCAAATGCCAGCCTATCAAGCAACAAATCACAAGACGCGGACTTTAGTGAAATCGAAAATTGGTTCTTTGGATTTCGAAAGTACAACCAACTAGTCAGCAACACCATAACGCCAAACCAGGCCTATCCATCGAAGGAATTTTCGAAAGCCTCTAAAGCGTTGACGAAAAACTGCGGAGGCAACTTTCTTCACAGCCTGCCAGAGGCAGTATTCGATTTCTCTCTACTTTGGTGTCCTGCAGGGCAGATGATTAAGAAGGATGTCAACGAACCGTCCTGGAGCTGGACTGCATATGAGGGTCCGGTTAATTTTCCATTCGACCCTACGACCTGCCCAGATATTTACAAAATTCCACGGAGCGAGGGCGAATGGTTCCAGTCAGAGGTGGTAAACTTTCACATCGGGCCCGAGTCGGCGCAATATACAGTCCGACGCGAAAAGGGCAACTCCCTGCGCATCCGGTACCCGCCATATTTCCACGCACCACGCGGATCAGATCACAGCAACGAGTCGAATACGCTTCGTTTTACAGCACAAACCATCTCTGCGGACGCCTTCATTGCAGAACAAATACAGCATGAAGAGAAGGATATTCCATGCTCACACCTCATCAACGTTGAGAAGAATTCGCACTGCGGTGTCATAATGGATTACGAATCAGCGATATCTGAGCCATCATCCACAGGTCCCTTTGAGTTTGTTCTGCTGTCTCGCAGCCTATGGCGCGAGCCCTCACCCGACAGCCGGAAACCTGGCTTGAACACCATGCACCCCCCAGGTACACCCATCTGGAACGGAGAGCGATTCCTTTGGGACTCGCGCGTCCACGACCATGACGAGCAATTTGCGACCGGACCCTGGAAGATGCTGAATGTCATGCTGATTAAGTGGGTCGGTGAGCATGCGGAGCGAGTGGCGATTGCGCGGATACACGAAGACGAGTGGCTACAACATAACCCTACGAGGGCGGACATTGTACTTCGTTGAATTTCTTTTGTTTGGTGACGCGCGTTTACGAAGGGCGTGATCGTGTCGGTTTCAACATGCTTGCGCACTACATGACGCGGCCTGTTTCTTTCTGGAGTGATGAGGCGGATAGTGTAGAAAGATACCATTTGATAGTGCTCTACAAGCACGGGAGGTAGCACATTCTGCTACACGTTTGTTTTGTATCAATACAAGGGGATAGTATGACTCGCTCTCGATTCGGAGAGTGTTCTCATTTACCAGACGATACCAGATCAACTAGCTGTTCTCTTACTTAAACTCTTGCATCAATGGAAAGTCTTATTAGTTCCATAACGAGCTCCTCGACAACGGTCGCTCTGGCGGAAGTGCAGCCACACAATGTCTCTGCGTTGCAATTGCCAGTGATGTTGAGACTAATGTAAACAAACACAGCCTCTTGTCCTGGGTGTAGAGACTTCACGGTGAAGGTGAACCCGAAACGTCTGCCTTTAGTTGTCCGCCCTGCCTTGGCAAGACCTTGTTTTGATCTCAGTCCCTGGCACCTTCCTCCATGGACGTCTCGCCACTCGAATTGCACAAGTTTCGTATCTGGATTCCTTTGACCGCCACGTACACGTTACTCTTCGGGATATCTGCGATGACGGCACGAAAAGAACGGGCAGCGCAGGAAGCTGTGATACAGAACTTGCGCGCAGAAGGTCAGGCACTGCAGAAGAGGTTGGCGGTAACATCCTCTATTTTGTGCGTATTGGTGTTCAACGGCTGACCTGCTGCTAGACCGTGGTCTCAGAATACGGTCAATACTTGAAGAAGTCCAACGGCGCGAGCGAGCTTGTTCGCAGCGAAGTAATGAAATCACAAAACACGACTACAGTCACTATCCCTAGGACTGCAAGTAAGAATGTCATGAAAATCCCAACTAACAATGCCATGGATGCAGTCATACTGGTTCTCATCGATGGCATGAGCCACATGGTACACCGTTCATCGGAGTTTTTTGTCTTGTATTAACGTTCTGGCAGGTTCATGACAAGTTGTACAGCAACGATGGAGGTGCGGAAACCGCGATGCGTCTTCGCGCTGTTGTGCGCGAGAAGCTTGCAGCAGTACTCCCCGCCATCGCGCGGAGCGGGCGGTATCAAATCGTTATCAAGATCTTTGCTTGTTTGAAGAGACTTTCAAACCATGTCATCGGTGGAAAGAGACCTTTGGCAGTCCACTTTGCCGAATTTACGAAAGTTAGTCCGTTCTTTGACTTTGTGGACACGGGTGATGAGAACCAGGTGTCGATAAGAATCAGTGGTAATACTTGCATCTTTTTGTCTTTAAATAGTGGGCTGACATACTGGGTTTCAGAAAACCTTAAATTACACATGGCGAGTGGACAGTGTAAGCACATATTCTTCTGTGCGGGTGGATCACCAAGATACTATGACACATTGAATCGCCATCTTGCACAGAAGGAGAAAGTGACAATAGTCACCGGCTTGGTTGTTGATGAGAACATCCGTAGGCTTGGCTTGCGTACAGTATCGTTCGCCAACGTCTTCAAAGCAAGCCGGCTGAACTATGGAGTTATCGACACTACGACCAAGCCAACTTCTACCAAGGCTCCAGCGGAATTGATTACGCCCAAGGTCTGTCATTCACACTGTCTAAAGATGTCCCACTAACAATGATCTTAGCTTGCGAATACCTCCGTTACTGTTGTACCGACTAAAGGTCTCACCAATGTCAGCTTAGTTACCAAAGAAGTAGATGCGCCTCCTCTTCCGTCACCCCTACCCACACAAGCTCGCTACGGTCTTGTTCCTATCAATCTAACAAGGCAACGACTCGATTTTCGGCTGCAAATTCCAACTCCTGCAGAGCTTCAGGCCTACAAAGAACGTACCAGGGTCCTGGAGCTCTGTATCGATTTCCACTTACACGGAAACTGTATCGCAAGCGATTGTATGCTATCCCATGGCAACCCTCTGAGTCCAGACGTCTGGAACGTTCTAGAATACAAAGCACTCGGAACACCATGTTCCAAAGGACATGAATGTCGAAGCTTGGATTGCATCAACGCGCATGTTTGCCAGAAAGAGGAGTGCGCTCGCGCGGGCGGGAGGGCAGCCTTGTGCGGGCTGACAGATGCTATGCATTGTGTGGATCCGCACGTCGCTGAGTGGGTTGTAGGATATGATGACGCTGTGCAGAGCGACTCACCGGTTCAGGGTGATGTTATCTCTATTGCTGGACCCCGGGTAGATGGTGGTGGCTCAGCGGCGTCTTGGACTACGCGTCTGGACGAGCTTTTATCCTGAACAATTTCTGCATCGAACCTGGGCGACGAAAGACTATGAAAGAACCTCTGTTGATGTATATATTTAGTCTCTATTCGAGTCTCCGACCAGGGTGCTTCATTGTGGGTGGGGGTCATCGACCATGTCTCGATGACAAGCACATCGGAACAGATGGGCTGGCATTAATGTACGTCAGCATCGGACTGCAAACTCATAGCGTCGCAGCTTAATGATATAAAAGTTCTTGGTGCATTGAGATGACGTCTGAGTAGCGCAGGTGGCCAGATTTACCGAGCTTTCGTCACCGGGGTCCAACTTTCGCGTCTCTGGACCCTGCATCGCGAACAAAACGCGTCCAGCCACCCCATTTTCCAGAGTGCTATCCCAATGGCCACTGCGCAATTTCTCGAACCTCTGTCCTGGGGGAGGTATTTTGAACATGGGTGCACAAGATAACGTACGTTATTTAAGAAAGAACTACTGATTGTGCAAAGTGCTGTAACGCTACCAAGGGAAAACGACACTCAAATAGCGTAGTATACCGTTCGACTCGATCTTCCTGAGCAATTGACCATCACCAGCGCTACTGTTGTGCTAGTAGGTACGCCAAAGCACTGCCGACTCTCCACGAAATTTCTCATTTCGCCAGCGTGCCCGGATACTTGTCTTCGCGATTACCATGCTTATACGCCCAGGACGAGGCATCCATACCGCTATGTGTTGCCGTCATATATTTCCGGAACGCTGAAGACATCGAAACAACCTGCTTGAGGTGGGCTTCTGTCACTTCCGGAACTTTGCCGCTTGCTTTGTACTTGGCATCAAACACAGCCAACGCCACGGCGGTTTGGAAGGCTGATGAGGGCTTTTGTTAGTCAAAAGGACGAATTTGCGACTGTGTATCAGCTTACCGTTCCGAATCTCTCTACCATTCCATTCCAAAGCCTGAACGTCGCGACTTTGGACATACCTCTTGGCGTCATACTCATAAGTGATCTCAGGTCCGCCACGTTTGTGATCCTGCTGTAGCTTCTTGAACAGATTGTCCCAGATCTTCTCCCTTGCGTTGTTGCTGAGCGGTTCATATCCGAGCGATAGATGAATGCGTGACATGAAAGCTTCGTCGAAGTGACCCACACGGTTTGTGGTCAGGAAGAGTATGCCCTGAAAATAATCCAACGCCCGTAGAAACACTACATCAGGTATCAGACTTGTTTCATCATGACCAGGGGCTTGCTTTACCGGACACAATACTGTTGCGCTTCAAATCATGAGTTGTACGCTGCTCAAGGTATACATCTGCCTCGTCAAGCAGAACTATAGCATCCCAGTCGCTAGCCCTCTTGAAGTAGCGCAAGAGGCTCGTCTCTAACGCTTCAGGTTCGTGACCCAGATCGGCTGCGGTGATGCTGAGCAAAGGCCGCTTGGTGTACTCAGCAACAGATTCTATAGAGTAATCAGCATTCCATTGCCAGAAGGTCACTCTAATGAAGCTTTACCAGCTGTGAGCGTCTTCCCAGTACCGGGAGGGCCATGCAGCAGAATGATCTGGCCTTCACCTTTACCATGGATGAAGTCTGCACTGAATCTTGAAGATTGGTCACTATCGGTGTAAGTTCGAGCAATGGCCTTAATCATCTCCTTGTTATTGTCTTCCATCACGAGGCTACTGATAGCGTCTTCAGCCATGCTCGCTTGTTCGAGTCCTTCAACATCCAGTAGATCTAAGTTGAAGTCAGCCAGCATGTCTCAGTATGAGTTTCAGAACGTACCGTATATTCGATCTTTCAAGACAAAGGCATACATGTGAGAGTCCATGATTTTATATTGTTGGCGCTCAAGCACTTCAGTCTCACTGGGTATGATATCGAAGTAATCGCTGAATGGCTCCTTATCGTACCTCTCCTGTAAGTCAAAAGAAGTTCGGCAATCCTTACACTCGCAGCGCGCCGCGCGGGTCACCTCGCGAACTGCAATTGAGTATGTGTCAGGGGAATGATGGTCGACCTTTTCGAAGGCTTCATTGGTCCAGGGCATAGAGGCATGTTCGACGACGACACGAGCACGTTTGTACTACCACTAGTCAGCCATAACGCGTACAGATAAAGGAAAGAAGCTTTACCGTCTTATTCTTCGCCACTGAGCTCTTGCCTGTATACTGCAGGAACGCCGGGGCCTTACAGTAGGTGAAGAAGCGTTTGCCACGCTCGACAAGCCTCTCCTCCAATTTGCCATTGTCGTTGTCATCAATGAAGTGAGCTGGAAAAACCTTGAGGCTAGTGATATCTCGTTCATTGTCAAAGACACTGATTTCGAGGTTGCGGAAGCCAGGCAACATGACTCTTCCATCAAACATCAGATTCCATACAAGTATGTTGTAATTCCGGTTGGTCTTTTCTCCTCCACGCTCAGACGGGCCTCCTTCCACCCTCTGTAATATAAATGCATTGAGGGATCCATCATCGTATCTAACATATACTTGAGTCCCTGGCTTAAGCAGCAACCAGTACGTGGCAAACGTGACAGTGGGTATCTTCCTTTCAAGACGCGCATTGAACTCCGCTGTCGGCGCCCCGGACTTCGAATTTAGGTAATCATCCAGGAGGTTCAGATGCTCGTCAAACTTCTCGTTGAAAAAGGTGGTGTGCTTGTTACGGAGAGCCGAGTTTCCATTTTTGTATTCGAGTAAGTCTGGAAGGTGATGGAAGAGATCTTGGTAAGGGTGATAAAATAGGCCAGTGGTTAGATTATTCATCCGTTTCTCCGGTGCAGTACTCGTGTACGTGATCACAGATTTGAGAACGTTGAGCAGATACTGAGAGTTAATCTTCAGACTTGTCTCGACAACGCGATCATGGGTTCCAAGCTTCGTCTTCTTGCCATCGGTGATTTCTCCGGTTGTTTCCGTGTCCTGATGATGTGGTGACAAGACATCCTTGATCTCCTGTAACGCAGGTAGTCTGTCGTTGTTGTCTGCAACCTCAAATTCCACTGGTTCTTTGTATGTCTTCGTTGTGACCAAGTACTCCTCACCGTCGGCCCTGCTTCGTCGGAAGTTGACAACATATTGCACACTACTTTCGTACATTTTGCTTTCTGGTGGATGTGAATCTTCTGAACTGTCTGAGTCATACGCAGAGTGAGTCCAAAAGTCAATCTGAGAACCATGTTCGATGACCTCTTCCCATGTTTGGGGATGGATATAGCCGTTGACTCTATGGAAGATGGTGATGTCGCCATTACTGATGTCACGCAAAGTGTCTTCATCTTCGCGATACCACTCCATTAGAAGTGCTTCCATGGCCTGTAGTAATCAGCGACTACATTCGTAGTATGTGGCGACAAGAGACTTACTCGCCAAGAGTAGCACGCTGTCCATGGCACAACATAAAATTCTGAGTCACCGAATCTTACTTTGATATAACGTTGCTCGCTTCTCTTGTCTGTCACCACCTCCAAGTCAGTGGTGTTGTCGAAATTAGCTGCGATCCCTTTGTTTATAGCGGAGCCAAGACGTTCCATGAGAATCTTTTCTCTGTGCTTCTCTTTAGGAAGCTTGGTCTCAGGAGAAGGGTGGCCTACTGGCTCTGTCAGTCATCTCTTTTTTTTGGACTCGCAATTCTTACTGTCGGCATCAGCAATGTTGTCAGCCTCATGAGACTCTTCTGAGGTCGCTGCTGTGGAAGGAACACCTCCCACGTCATCGGTGAAGGTAGAGACATCTTTGTCAACGTCAATGGTTGAAGCGTTTTCAACTGGCTCTGAGGTATGAATTGGATTTTGAATCGTGTCGTGTGAGTGAATGCTTTGCATAGAAATCGACGAAGGAATCTCTACAGCTGCCATGGCGGGCAGCCGGTGGTAGACCCGAATGGCTCTCAACGAGTAACAGCCTCCAATAACCAATAGAGCCCGAATCAAGAGTGTTGGTACATCTGCAGGTATTTGATCAATGCATATTTGCTTGGCTGCTTTGGGTGGAAAGCGTCGAATTTTGAAAAGAGCTTAATGGATCAAAGGTGACTTCGCATTGACATATGATGGGAACTGACCAGGTACTGACCTGCCTGGACCGGGGTCAAATCATCGATTCCACCGGCCGGCACATGTGCGCTGTATTTAATGTCTGCATGAGCTGACATGAGAAGGGTAGTAAGCGGCTAAAACACATCCACCGCAACCTGGTTGTGGCGTTAGTGGCAGCATATACCATGCAAGAGAGCGCAAACAACCCACTTGGAAATACACAAAGTGGCATGGGGATAACAATAAAAAGACTGCGATTCGTTAGAGTGGATACATGGCATGCATCCCGTAATCAGCCTTTGGGGGCGGAGGATCGATCTGCATGATCGTGACCAATACAGCGCGGGGTATGCATAGCCTCGTTCGTATTATGCGAATAGTCAAGTAATTTGGACTTCAATCTTGTTTTCACATCTGCTAAAATGTCAGTTGAAGGCGCTTTTGCAAGAAACGAGGTCGAGCATCAGGAAGGATTGACTCTGGTAAGAAGATTTACAGGTGAACTGAAAGGCGATACAACGCTCGAGCACGCTACTACCAGTGCGCAACAAGAGCAAGATGCCATCGCAGAAGCGCGGATGGAAGCGCGAATGCGAGCTTTGCTTCAGGATGAGAATCCAAGGTCGGTGTAAACGTGCGTACCTTGAGATTTAGAGGCTGACAGTCGTGAAAGCAACGCTCTTTTTCACGAGGCTGAGACCGCTAGGCTTTTGTTGCTGAAGACACGCCAGACGTTTGAAACACCAGAACAACCGTCAACATTAGTGAAGATGGGTTTCAGCCGGAAGACGGCTCGAATGACGGCGAACGAAGCCCTAGAAAGCAGAAACGTCTACGGATTTACTCAACTAAGTGATTATGTGAACGGTCTTGAAAGTGCATGGAAGAGCAAACAGTCGAAAGTGAGATAGCAACCACGACGGCAGGCGATTGAATGTACCTTACTTACCAAACGACTAGTCTGCTCAGCGATTTCGGAGACTCTGTGGCGGACTCGATGCCCACAAGAATGCATTCGCAATCTTTCCTTCCCAGAACGACTACACATCTGCATTATGCGGTAGTCTTAAATTCATCATTGCTGCTGCTGTCAACCATGACGAGATCGCTGATACCATCTCGGAAACAGTGACTGAAATCACTGAGAAAGCAGCACGAGCCGCCAAGATATTACTGGTCTTACACACACATGCCATACGAAAGTTGTTCTCCGAGCTCTATGCACGAGTGTTCCACTTTTATCGCGACGCCATAGAATGGTACATGAGAAGCAAAACCTCGCGGTTTTTTAGTAGCTTCAATGAGAAGATGAGGGACCGATACGTAAAGGCCGCAAAAGAGATTGATGACACTGTGACGGAGATGTACCGGGAACAAAGCATTGCTCAAGCTGCGCGACTAAAAATCTTTTGCACCGAACAAGAGCGGCGCGATGAGATGATTCGACAAAGACACAAGAACCCCGATGCATCTGACCTGACATTCGCAGGGGAAAGAGCACAGCAGTTGCTGTTGAGTTTGCATAAGAGTATGTGCATCCAAGCCTCTGCTGTCCAATCTGTACCAAGTTCTGGGCGTGGCGAGTTCCCGGCTCTTTTCAATGGAAACACAAAGGCACCCGATCTGATCAATCGCGTGACTGCAGGGAAGCTGGCTGCCGATCTGCAGCACTATGTTGTCGGGACTGAAGGTCACTCCCTCTTCAATGACGGTAGCTTTTGGCTTCCAGAGGTCGACGTAGCCTCGAAACTCCACGATTGGATAGGGAACGAAGTAAGCTCTCCTACGCTATGGATATCGAGCTTGGACTTTTCACCGCCTGATATACCAGGCTCACGCGCAGCTGCTTTGAATGCGCTGGTCGCAGCATGGACAGCAGAGCTCCCAATCATATCGCATTTCTGTGAGCGACCTCGGTTTGCGACACTTGCAAGGGATCGCGATATCGAGAAAGTCGGTCTGCTCGGAATGGTGTACAGTCTGATCGCTCAGCTTTTGCAATTCGAGTTCGAAAGCGACGCGTTCGAAGTTGCTCAGTCGCGAGTAGAAAAGCTTGATGGGTCAGATGAAAGTTGGCCAATTGCTCTCGAGATGCTCTCGGCTCTCCTGCAAGCGACTCCGCATCTCAAAACATGCGTTATTGATGGACTAAACGATTTGACGTTCGCAGCGGGCGCAAGTTGGTGTAATGACTTTCTTCAGATCCTCTCCAGGCACCAGGAGTCTTTCGCAGGCCGCTTTCGGATCCTGCTTACTACCGCTGGTCAGTCTCGAGTGGTGCAGGACCATGTGAGCATCACCGATCGTGTGTTCACTCAGACCGGAACGCGGGAGGTCATTCGCAACGGGCAGTGGTATGACAGATTGGAAAGCTGAGTCGTAGCTGAATGAGGGATGAAGGTTCGGGAATGTGGGGATCAAAAGCTTGGCTGTTTCCACCCTTCCGAGGTTTCTTCCATTTAAAGATAATAATTCAAAGTGGTATATCAGCAACTCCGCGCTTCATATGCATCATACAGAACCAAAAACCCAAACATGTATCGCCTGACCAAAGCAAACCCCCACATTCAGAACATAGCCAACCAAGGCTATGTAAGATCCAGAACCTCTACGGCGCTCTCTCTCCATTTTCGCCTATCTTTTCCCTTTAGTACAACTCCCGCTACACTGTCACCCGTTTTCTCAGGGCTGTCCACGTCTACAAAGTCCCAGGCACCGACAATGCTTTTCCGCAAAACGATTGCTCGTTTCTTCTTCTCTCGTGTCTTCCATGCTGCTGGCGGTGACGTTCGAGATGGCAATTGTGGTGAAGTCGATTCGTGGCTGCGCGGTGATCGGCGGAGAGAAGAAGGTGATGTGTGAGTCGGTGGGGGAGATGCTGGTGTAGGGGCTGCAGGTTTCTCACGAGGCTCCGGTGCGCGTTTAAACACCGGTGATGAGAGCTCCGTCAGGTCAAGCGTATCGACCTTTGAAGGCACTGATTGTGGTCTCGTTGGGAGGAGTCCTGGTGACGTGAGATCCAGGGCTTCATGTTTTGGCGATTCTGATCTTGGCTTCGCTGGAACAAGGCGTGGCGATGTGAGGTCAAGAGATTCGACCTCAGAAGGCGCTGACATGGTTTTGCTGAGACGAGGCGAGGTACGGCGAGGTCGCGATGCACCAAACACATCTTTTATGCTCTTCTTCTTATTAGACGTAGAGGATGCTGTAGAGGTGTGTGACGCATTCGATGATATCGATGTCAATGGTGGACGCGTCGTAGATGTTGTTGTGGGATGTTGTACGCTGCTACTTCGCTGATGTCGCGTTGACCGTTCCGGCGAAGAAAGGGTCAAATCCAGCGAGTCTGCTTCTTCCGATAGAGATCGGAGCTTTGGTGGTGCTGGAACTGGTACTGCATCGAGTGCTGGTGTCACACCTCGCCGTTTAGTCGGAGTGACCGATGCTCGCCATGCATCCAATGTTGCTTGCGATGCTACAGACGTACCCCGAGGCGCTCTTGCAGCCGGTGCGGCCTTGGTGTTCCGTGTTCTCGCCTTCTTCGCGGGCAGTTGAGAAGGAGAGGGATGTGCTGGTGAGTCCGCCAAGTCCAATACTTCTATTGTATCCAGAAGGGGTGGTGTCGAAGGCCGATCAAGGATACTGCTGGTATTAGCCGGTAGCGTCTTCGAACGTTGTATCGGTGCGCGTCTTCTCCGTTTGCTCACACTTGGAGGTAGGTCTGGGAGAACAGGAGATAGCGACTTTTCACGTTCAGGACGTGGTGGCGGTTCTGTGACCCGAGTCCTCACTGGGGAAGAAGAAAGCAGGCTAACCACATCGTCTTCCTGCGGCACAGGCTTCCGGACAGGGAGAGGAGGTTCGGCAGTCTTTTCTTGTGTCTTCGCAAGGGCTCGCGAGAGCTTTGAGCCCGGTTTGGTTACTTTGGCGAAGGTTTCGATGCGAGCCTGTGGTTGATCTCCGGCAGTCTTCGTTCGCCTGGGTGCGGCCTTGGCCTTTGGTGCAGCATTGCCAGGCTCCTGCACAGTTGCTGCACGCTTGGGCTTCTGCTTCGTCTGTCGCTCGACTTCCCAGTCTTGAACTTTGAGTGGTACGCCAACCTTGACGAAGGTCTCCATCACCCATATCCGCGCAGCTTTCTCTGGGTCAAACTTTGTAGGTCCGCGCTTCTTGGGACCGTCCTCTTCCAGATCATCGTCATCGAGATCGGCATCCCCTCCAGCTTGTTGGGAACTGGGTGGTGGCATTTCCACATCGTCGTCTGGATCCTCCTTGCTAAGGTCGATTTTCACAAGCTCGATAGGCGTGAAGCTGACTCGTAGTTCGGTACAGTTGTCTGTGACCGGGTGCTGTCGTTTCCCGTGTAATCCTTTGATGAGAAGGGCCTCGTCTTCTTGTATGGCCTGGATATCGTTTGAGGGCAATCGGTCGAGGCTTCCAGCGCGTAAGCGTAATTGTTGCACTACCAACGACGGCGCTAGACTGCGAATAAAGTGTTTTGCGCCTTCGAGCTTGACCCAGTCGAACGCATCATGGGTAAACTCGCGCAACCCCGAAAAGTCGATCTCCTGAT